AACGAGAACTTATACTGGAAAACTTTGTAGTTAAAGGTAAAAAAGGTAAAAAAAGGCTATTTGAGTTCAAACATAAAGTCAACCAGTCACTTTTTAAAAACGATAACTATCGCTATTTTACAAATTACTATTATATATATATATAGTTTTTATTGTTTTTTAAGATATATAAAACAAGAAATTATAAACGAACATCAAATCGACGGGCATAGAGTTTTGTGTGCCATGCTAAATGTCACCATTTATCACATAAAAGAAATGTTTGTAGCATAGCACTTAAACTCTATGCTTATTGATTTGATGTTCTTTAAAGTATATTGTGTGTACTATAAACTACCTTTGAACGGAGAATAACATTTTTTTGAAAAAAACTTTTATATTAAAAAAGTGTGTGAAAAGATTCAACGTAAATGATTAATTACAATATAGATACAATGTAAATTAATATTATTACTTTTTGTCAACTTAAATGTATTACAGACTATGACGAATATTATTGTGTAATAGAAACTCCTTATACACTTTGTGCAAACATAGAAAAGATGCTTTTCAGACAGGTCATAACATGTCCGAATGATTATGAGCTTGTTATGAGTTGGTAGTTAAAAACATAAGCTGATAGGATCAGAAATATTCGCAGCAGTTTTTTGTTCATCAGCAAGTAGGATGTATATGCTGCCCATGATAATCTTTTTCTTGAACAAAAGAAGCCAAAATTAATAGGTGGAGGATCATTAGGTGCCCAGATTTTTATGGGTGGATACAAAAAAAAATTGTTTGCTTAGTTAAAAAAATTAGATCAGTATTCAGAGGCTAAAAAAAGCTTACCAGATCTACTTATTATTTTAGATAAACATTGTAGATAATCATTTACATAGATAACATTTCAGATAATCATTTATATAGATAACATTTCAGATAATCATTTACGTAGATAATATTTTAGATAAATCTCACACTAAAAGTATTCAACTGATTAATATTAGCAAAAAAGAATGATTTTTATGTCTCCCTCCTCATTGCACATAAGCAGCATTCAAAAACCAGGCATACCACCAGTTATAAGAATTGTTTTTCTAAAACTTTATATATTTTATTAAATAGTGTACTGAGTAGTATCTGTTATTTGAGTCAAGCTTTTTAACAAATTTATAAATGACTCAAGTACCCAAAAACTATAAAACAAAAAAACATCATCATCACCAAGTTCTCAAAATCTATCATTCACTAAAATTCATAGTTTATAAAGTAACTTTACTTCTGTTGGGTCTTATCTCTTGCAAAATTCACCAGACCTACTTGCTCTTTGTGAGACTAATTTGAGATCGGCTGTCTCATCTTGTGACTCTCATCTGTCAGTGACTCTGCAGGCATTAAGGCCCACAACTTTTGCCTTTCTCAATCTTTAAATCAAATAGTCAACTTTTCAACTCGTTTTGTAGACAATCCAAATCATGTACCTTCTCTACACGACTTATGTCTTGTTTCTAATCTTAGTCATTACTCAGTTTCTCTTCATTCACCTTTAGGTGCTTCTGATCATAGTTTGATCTCTCTAAAACTATTTTTTCATTCTTCTTCATCATCAGAATCCCCTTATCATTGTACCTCTTACAACAACTACTTGTCAGCAAGAAGTCAAAAGATTTCGTTTTACTGCTGAGAAGTGTGCTTTTCACATAACTTCTTGGATTCAGGCTGGCATGGAACCTTTTACTCTTCTCCATGATTTTCGTTGCATTGTGCTGCTGCAATTTTCTATCGAAACCATTACTTCCATATCTATCAGCAAAATAATTCTCCAGAAAACAGACATCTGTTTACTATTGCTAGAAACAATTGTAAAAAAGTTTTGTCTAATACCAAAACCTGCTCAGATCACAAAATCCCGTACTTTACCTCAAAAATTAACCTCTTGTGACATGTGGAGAATCTTTAACAGTATCTATAATAAGGGCAAGTCCGTTATTCCATCTCTCCTGTATGGTTCAGATATTATCACCTCACCTAAAGATAAAGCTGAATTATTTGCTAAGAACTTTTCATCAATATTTCTTGATTCCACTAGTTGGGTTCTACCTGATTTAGCTGACAAACAGGTTGATCCATTACTTGACCATCTTACTACTCCAGCTTCTGTATCTAAAGCAATTTTCTGCTTAGATTCTTCTACGTCTTGTGGTCCAGACAATATACCTGTTAGTCTTGCAGAAGTGCTCTCCAGAGCTGTCGTCTATACTTTTAAAACTATTTAACAAGTGCGTATCAGAGTCTTGTTTTCCAGCTTGTTGGAAATCCCATTTGTTGTCCCTATTTGCAAAAACTCTGGAAAGCGATTTGACTAGTCTAACTACCATCCCATTAGTCTCCTTCCTATCATAAGCAAATTTTTTGAATCTATATTCAATAAACACTTAATCTCTCATCTTAAGTATAATAACTTACTTTCTGATCATCTGTTCAAGCCATTATTTATGATGGCCTTACCCACCAGAAATGATGGTTAAGGTCATAGCTCTTGATATTTCTAAAGCTTTTGATAAAGTTTGGCATGCTTATCTACTCCATAAGCTTTCTTCTTACAGTGTATCAGGTAACATTGTTAAGATTATTGAATCCTTCCTTACCAATCGTAGTATTAAAGTTATTTTCAATGAACAACACTCTTTTTCATATCCTGTCGCTTTATGGGTTCCTCAAGGTTCTATCCTTGTTCCTATACTCTTTTTAATTTATATTAATGATCTTCCAGATATTCTCACATCTAAGGTGGAATTGTTCGCTGACCATACTACCATTTATTCTTTTCTTGATAAGAAGCCAAGACTCTCTGATTGTTTGGAGGGGACATATGAGATTGAAGAGGACCTCACTTCTGCTACAGATTGGAGTCACAGTAGCTGGTGAACTTATCTTCCTATATTTATGAATAGTACTTGATGAGTCATCTTCTAGGATTAACTTTTACTTCTAATCTTTTTTGGAAACCATATATCAAATCATTTGCAAAATTAGCATCTGCTAAGGTTTATTTATCTTGCTCGTCACTTCCTTACTCTGGATTCTATTCTTCATCTCAAATACGTCCGATGACTACAAAAACAGAAACATTTGCTTTTAGAAAAATGCCTCAGCTATACAATGGCTTCTATACAATGGCTTCTACAAGCCAAAGATTTTTTTATTTTGCAGCATAATTTCCACTTCCAGCCTTTTAACTGCTTCTACCAGCAACACTAATACCACATTTTTCCAAAAAATCTCTACAATTTAATATTCCAATACCAAAGCAAGCACTGTAAAGGAAACTATCAAGTCAGAGTCAATTCTCTCCATATAAAGTCTTGCTCCAAGTCACTCTGAGTCAAAATGAGCCAACTGCATAGAAAAAAGGTAAGGCTCAAAATGACAAACAAAATGAATATGAATTAAAGAATATAATTAAAGTAGATGAACAAAACATTTCTGCATCTAAAAAAAAGTAAATGATAAGAAGATTAGTGTTAGAAGTTGGATTGCCACAGGTAGGCACATAACTCATGTGCTTGTTTAGAAGAAACAGGTCAAGTTTTACTTGGAACAATAATAGTTTCCAACTTATTTAAATGTTCCATTACATTCCTCACTGTATACCATTGTATTCTATTGTATTTATTCTTTCATTTGTATTTATCAGGGGCTATTCTAGACCATCTTTTACAGCATCCACTGTATTTTGGCTGATTTGGGCACCAAACAAATTAAAATTTGTGGACCGCCCCCCTTTTTTTTTTAATGTTTTTAAGGCAAATATTGTTATTTTTGCAAAAAAACCGCCAATTTTCTGCTAAAGTTTGTCAGAACAAGTAGGTACTGCCCAAATTTTTTCCTAGAATAGGCTCTTTATATAATAAAACAAATCTGACTGATTACCTGAACTTAAAAAAGTGTGTCATAAAAAGAGGTAATTAATGCCCCACAAATATTAATACTTTTAAAACAAGAATTTCCATAGTGATATCAGGTAATGTAGCAGGTGAAGTTTTATTGCTTTTTGCAGCTTATAAGGCTACTAATGTGATCAACATGGTGTGTAGAATCTTTTAAGAGAGCCAGGTACTTTAAAGAAACACTAAAAGTGATTAAATTAATGGAGCAGCTTTTGAATAGTGGTTTTATTTTCTATAGTTTCACCTACTTTTAAAAAGAAGCCAGGAGTTAAAGTTCTGATAGGCAATAACTTATCTTTTACTCTCTTTAACTCTCCAAAAGTAATAATGCGAACTATATGTACCCATAAAAATATGGTTATATGTATGGTATATTAGCTATATGTACCCATAAAAATATGGTTCATTATAAGTCTATACTAATGATCATTTTTATACTTACACTTTTTTTAGTAAGCATTAAAAAAAATATATATATATATATTTATATAATATTTTTATCAACAGTTCGGGTATCAGTAACCGTCTAAGTAATATTTAGAATACCCGCTTGAAATGTGTTGATTAATTACAATCGATATAGAAAGTTTAAAAAACATGTGGAAAAAGACTTTAAATCTTGTGTAATAATGGACTTACCATGATCTGCATAATATGGGTAATGGTCACACTGACTATTTTTATACTTATTCTTCATTTTTATTTCAATAATTTTTAGTAAGCCGTAGAAAATAAAAATCTTTGTTTTGAGTTAATGATTCAATAAATTAATAAATATTTAATTAAAACTGCGTTATTTGATGCATAGTTTTACTTTTTCATCAAACTTTTGTTTGTTTAACTTTTATTTATCTAATCAAATTGTTTTGAATAAAACTAGGAACAAAAAATGCTTTAAAGAATAAAAACATAAATTGAAAAAAAAAACTTTTTTAATTTTGACTTATTACTTAAAATCTTGTAGTTTCGAGTTATATTTATAAGTTATATTTATTTATGATTATTTCTTTAAAGAATAATAATAGGAATAACTTTTTAATATTTATTTACAATTTATTTAATTATAAATACCTGGTACGTAAGTAATTGGTGAGTATTCCTTATGTAAAGAATCAACTAGTTCCATAGTTGAACATTGGTTGTTGTACATGCTATGAATTTTTTGATCGACAATTGAATAAAAGGTTTGAGTGTGCAAGTCAATTGCAGGAAACTGTTTCTTTGAAGAATTCAGTGCTAAAATATAAATACACATTTTATTTTTCAAGTGTAACCTTGAGGGAATAAACAAAAAAGTTAACTTATATTTTAAACCATCCAAATTTAAAATGTACCATGGATAATATCTTCTGGTAATGATTGACCAGTTTTGTAATGTTTTGCATATAGGGGAAGAATTCTTTTATCTGTTGCAAAATATTCCATTAATATTGAGGGAACTTCAGCAAAATCTGTAGGGCATCTTGTGCCCGTAACATGATGAAATCTAAGTTATTATATATAAAATAAACAAAAAGATCTGATTTTTTTTAATTATTTATTTATCAAAAGTTATCAAACAACAAATAGGTTCATTTACACACACACACACACACTCAAATAGTTAGACTTGAAATAAATAATTTAAAAGGAAAACCAATAAACCTAGACAAAAAAAAAAATGTTTATTTATTTCAAGTTCATTATACAAATCATAAAAAAGTGTACTTGGATGTAACCATTAACAAAACTACACTCCATTTTTATAAACTACTTTTACACAAAATGTTCTAAATAAAGGTTTTTCAAAACTTGAGGAAAAAATTAAACAAAACCTTAAATAGTATTTTTAATTCTTTTAATATAAAAACATTAATAACTTATTTTGAAGTATATTGTTTCTTAATATAAAAGATTTTTGTATCTTTCCTAACTTAAAATAAGCAGTAAAAATGTAAATAAGAGTTTTTGAATGATAAGAATAAATTTAAAAAAATAATTTATTAAACATTCAAAAATTTAGGTTGAGAATAACTGACATTTTTTAAAAAAAAGCATTTTTTTTTTTTTACTTTTGAATGAATAATCTTGCTTGTTAATGACGATGCTTTTTTCACATTAAAGAAAAAATTAATCAACTTTATTAATTTCTTTGTTACGTGTACGTTTTTTAAATTAATTTCTTTGTCATTACATTTTTAGTAGTTACATTTTCTACTTGTTTAGTGTATAACATAAAATCTAAAACTGATTTATTATTTATTTTTTTTGAACTATGATCTTTTGAAACTTTTGGGAAACTTTTTTAAACCAATTGGAAATTCTGTGTTATATGCAGTGCCATTAAGCTATCTAACATCCTGATACGCATATATATTATACATATATATGTATGTAGATACTTATTTTTTTGTGAATATAGTATATAAATAAATATGTATATATTTATATATACATATTTATTTATTTCACGCGCGCACACACACACACACACACACACACACACACACACACACACACACATATATATATATATATATATATATATATATACATACACACTCACTCACACACGCACATATGTATATACATATATTATATATTTTATATATATATATGTATATATATGCATATATATATACATATATGTTTATTATATACAAGGGGTGTGGAGTCGTAAAAAAAAGTAACAACTCCTACTCCAGTTGTCGAAATTTTTTGAACACAACTCCGACTTCAACTCTAACTCCAAAGCAAAATTTTTAAAAAATGCTTTGAATTCTTTAAAAAATATTACACGATAAGTTAAAAATTTATTTTTTGACAAATTTATGAAACGTTCTTTGAGGTTTAGCATGAACATAAGGTTAATTGAATGTTTTGTACATACAAATGCAATACCGAGAAGTTTTACTAGTGGAGTCGGAGTCACAACTTTGTTTAGCAACTCCCACTCTGCTGAAAATGTCGCAACTCCTCAACTCCAACTCCATAGCCCTGATATATACATATATGTATATTATATATATACATATATTCACACACATATATTATATGTATATATACATATATAATAAATATATATTTTATATATACAAATATATGTATATATTTATATATATATATATATATATATATATATATACATATATATATATATATATATATATATATATATATATATATATATATATATATATATATATATATATATATATATATATATATATATATATATATATATATATATATATATATATATATATATATATATATATATATATACTCTTGCATGTCTCTTGCATGGCATCAAAAAAAGTTTCCCATAAACTGTAGTTTCAAAGAGCGCGTTAATAAACCAGACCAGAAAAAGTTTTAAAAATTAAAATTTTTTTTTTAATTGATAGACTGCCTGGCCAAACCAAACCCTCAGTCGATGTAGCAGCACTCTCTTGCGAGTCAGGCTATTTGTCAGTCGTTGTAGCAGCACTCCCTTGCGAGTCAGGCTATTTGTCAGTCGATGTAGCAGCATTCCCTTGCGAGTCAGGCTATTTGTCAGTCGATGTAGCAGCACTCCGTTGCGAGTCAGGCTATTTGTCAGTCGATGTAGCAGCACTCCGTTGCGAGTCAGGCTATAAGATAGTCGATGTAGCAACATTTACGCATGTTTTAAAAATGTTTTTTATTAAATCAATAACAAAAACACCACTAATTAAAAAAAACTTTCTAGTCGTTATAATTGCGGTTTTTTAAAAAAATTTTAAAAAACAATTAAATTTAATGTACTTCCGCATAAATTAATTGCTTTGACATTTCAATGACAATCAAAAACAGCTTAAGAGACGAGGTAATTAAAATTGTAGTCGTAAGAGACTTTTTTTACATTAAAACGCTCTTTCGACTACACTATATGGGTATATATATATATATATATATATATATATATATATATATATATATATATATATATATATATATATATATGCGAGAGTGGAGAAAAGCTCTCCTAAAACAAGCACGGCATGCCATGCCAGCTGCCCCTCTAAACAGCTTCTTATGAGAGATAATACAAAATTTGGTTTTATACTTTAATACAAAATTTGGTTTTATACTTATTATAAGCATATGTTTGTAACATTAATATTACAATAATATAAACATAACAAGCACTATTTATTGCACCATGAAAAAACTCTTTAGACGAGTGTTGTCTTTGGGTTTTCACACTAGCTATCAATTTAATAACAACATTACTTATTTGATAAAGATAATTTGACAAAAAGCTATAAAAGTTTCTAATGCTTATAAAAAAATGTTTTATATTTCCTTATCGTAGTAGAATTCAAACATTTTAAGAATTATTACAACAATGAAAATAAAAGTGAATAATATATTTAATAAGTGAATAATGTATAAAATATAATTCATTACATAAAAAAAAAAAATTATTATGCATAAATTTAAACTAATTATTTTACATTTTATTAGTTAGTTAGTTAGTATGATAACCGCAATCCAACTTTATCGTGTTGCATAGAGCGCCTTTATGGCACTGTGGCAGTTTTGTTGGAACCTGTCCAACTGGTTTTTGAATTTGTTTAGGCTTCCAGCATTAACAATCTCGTCCGGTAGGCTATTCCAGCTGTTAACAACTCGGTTTGTAAAAAAGTTGCTTCTATTATTATTATTTCTAACTATCTCCTTGATCAGTCGACTTCTATGTCCATGGCGTGGCGCAGATCGGATTGGGGTGTGGTGCCAGTTAACTATTTCTTTTCCATATTCGATTTTGAAAAGTTGAATTAAGTGACGTCTTTATTCAAGGGTGGTCAAGTCTAAAATGCCTAATCTATTTTCATAAGGTAGATGCTTTATATTGTGGGCTATCTTAGTAGCGCGTCTTTAGACTCTCTCTTTTTGTAAAATAATTTTATATTTTATCAATAAAATTAAGAGTGTCATAATTTTATATTTATCAGGTAGTCCCATCTAATCAAAAACATGTGCATTTCAATCAGAGCTCATTTTATATATATATATATATATATATATATATATATATATATATATATATATATATATATATATATATATATTATATATATATATATATATATATATATATATATATATATATATATATATATATATATATATATATATATACTATATATATATATATATATATATATATATATATATATATATATATATATATATATATATATATATATATATATATATATATATATATATATATATATCCTTATCAAATAAGCTTGACTAGAAATTAGTTTGTTTACTTTTAAAGTTTATTGAACTTTATAATGTTCTTTATTTAATACAAAATTTAATTTTCTTTAAACTTTTATTAATATGAAAAACATTTTTTAGTTCCTATTTCCCTATGTTATTTGCCTATTTATTATTTGTCTAAACCGAAAAAATAAAAAAATTAAATCGCCTTTTTTATTAAAAAAGAAGCTAATTGTTACTGCACTTGTGCCTATGCCTAAAATGATATAACAGTTTGTATATTTCTTAAAAACCAGAAATGCTATTAATTTTAATTGCTATTATATTCTTAATAAATAAAAAATGTCTTTATTTATTAATTACGTTAATTTATTTACTTACTTATCTGCATAAAAATTAAAATATACTTAGTAAAAAATGTTTAATTTTAAAAAAATTCAAAAAACAGTATAGATTTTTTAATTAGTCATAAACTTTGAGCCCAGTTACCTTATTTAAAAACATTGTTGTATAGGCTGGTTTAGCGCCATCTATATGTAGTTGAATAGTATATTATAATCTTAATTAATTTTAATTGAACAGTATATGTAGTCACCAGTACTTGTATTGCTTAAAATTACAACTTTTTTAAATTGTGCATTTACCATGTATTTCATACAAAAGTATGTTTATTTCTTTAAAAAAAAGTTTTTTTTTTTTTAAATACTTTTTAAAAAATAACATTTTTTATGCAACTATTTTTTATATTTATTTTTATTTTAAGGTAATTTAAAAATCTTTTTATTAAAAAGCTTTGATTAAAATCATTAGAATAATAAAAATGCTAAAGTGAGCAAAACTACATAAAAAATGGACCATTAATGACAGTAAACATGGACCGACGTGTCAAAGTTTAAAATCTTTGGTTTCAAGATATAATTGTTAATCTAGAAAAAAAAATTGTTGAATGTATGATTAAAATAGTATGAATTATTGACTGTAAAACATGGTGGATGTAGTGTTAAGGTGTGAGGCTGTTTTGGTTGGGATGCCACAAGTGTCTTTATAAAAATAGAGGGAGTAATAACAAAAGTAGTTGTATGCTTAAAAAAGCATGCCAAACCTTCGGAAAGAAGGTTTAATGGAAAGCCATTTATTTTTTCAGAAGAAAATTACTTTAAGCTTAAATCTAAAACACATTTTACAAAAAATTTGCATAAATTATTTGACTGAATTCAAGAACGATCAAATATTTAATAGAATGATTTAGCCTCCCCAATCACAAGATCTCTCTCCTATCAGATTTTTATGTAAGTAATGTCAAAAACAAATGCCTAATGATGAATAATGCCTAATGTGGAAAAAACTTATTAGTTAGTGGGATAAAACTGACTCCGAAAATTGGATATGTTGTTAAGCAGAATGCCAAGTATATGTGTGGCAGTTATTGTCACTGAGGATGATTAAAAGCTGTCACAAGTGTCAAATTGTCACAAGGATAATTAAAAGGCAAATAAATTATAAACTAATCTAATGGAATTTTATATTACCTTTTTTGTAAACCTAATAAATAGGAAGATAACATATAATTCAGATAGACTTTGTTTTTAACTTGTCTCCAAATAGTAAGTAAAACTTTAATTTCTTATATCGAAAAGTATGACCATTTGAATAATTATGGACTTATGGACGATAGTGTATACATATATATATATATATATATATATATATATATATATATATATATATATATATATATATATATATATATATATATATATATATATATATACATACATATATACACATAAATAGAAATACCTTGATCGTCCTAACATTGAATGCATTGCATGACCCATCTCATGAAACAAATTCTCTACATTTCCTTGAGTTAATAAAGAAGGAGAATGTAAACCAGGGCGAGGAAAATTACACATTATTGCCACAACAGGAAGCTGATAAGTACCATCAGATAACAATTTTCCTCCTAAAAAGCAAGTTAAACAAACAATGAATTTATCTAAAGAGAATAAAAATAAATAAAAAACAACAGCAAAATTAAATATTATATATACCTTTTATTGTAAAATGACAATCTTGAGGAAATTTGTTTGCTCTTTGAAAGAAATCACAATAAATATAGCCTAATACTCCTTCACTTTCATGACGAACTTCAACTTTTTGTACATCAGATGCCCATAACTCTCCGGGTCCAGCAGTAACTACATTTAAGGAAACACCATACAGTGAGGTAAAAATAATATTTAGCCCATCCATGCATGCACCTACTGAGAAATATTCACTCACCGTTTTTGAGGTAATATTAAATGCTTGTGAACTTAGCAAGCTTGTATAGTATCGCATGTCCCATGCTTTGACTTGATTGTCAGAAATTCCATTTATTTTCTTTTTGTAATCAGAGATAGTACCCATTTCCTTGAGATAATACTTTTCAACCATTGCAAGTGTTTTTTCTAAAAATGCAAGCACTATAGCTGGATTAGCACCAGAAGTTCCCTTAAGTACTCTATGGGGAAATGATTCAAATCCTAAGACATTAGAAAGTTCTTTACGAGCATACAACAAACCATTTAAAAGGTTAGACTGCTCCTCACATTCGGACATAAAAGCCTTGTAACAGATTTCTCTCAATTTAGGATCACTTGATTCACTGTAATTACTATCAACAATTATTTTTGATTTATTTGTTTTAAAAGGTATTGGAATTTCTTTTGGCCATTTGCTAACTGAAAACAATCTTGGTTTTTGAGCATTTTGAGTAAAGCGAGCCCCTAACATTAACGAAGCCTCATGCATTTCAACAGCTCTCTTTTTTTTTTCTATATCCAAGTGAATTCCACTTTGCTCAAAATCAAATAAAAACAAAGAAGCAACCATTTTTGTGACAGGGTCAAGTTGTTCAGAGCATTTCTGGAAAGAATTGTTTAGTGCACTATATAAGTCATAATGTGTATTTAGTTTTTCAACATAACCACCTATTTCAAAAGATGTACTCTCTGCTGCGTGTTCAAAGCTTTTTATTGGATGAGCAACGCGTACAAACTCTGCTAAATCAGCTACTTTACATAACTCATTTGAAAGATCATCAAATATAAAAATAACTTCAGGTGAAGGAGACTTTTGTATTGCTTTTTTAATTAAACCTTCAGAGAGTGTGAACAAATTATCTTTTAAAATATTGAAACCATCTGCAGTTTTTAATTCTGAAATACCGAACAACCCTACATTATTCACATTATTAATAACATTTTCTAATTCTAAGTGACATTTATTAAAAGCTGTTGCAAGTGGACTCAGAGAACTAACATTAACTTTTAAAAATTTTAAGCAAAAACATATTTTTGGCTTGAAAGTTTGCATAATAGTGGTCATCTAAACAAAATGCTTTCAAATATCAAAAATTATAACAGTAAGAAAAAACCCTTTGAAAATCAAGACTTATTCATAATAAAAAAAAAAAATTTTTTGTTAAATCTGTTCTACTTTATGTTCAATTCAAAACAAAATTCTTTTAAAAAGATAAATAAACTAGTAATTAAAACTAATTATAATATAAAAATGTTATTATGAAATAGCAATCTGTAAATGATCTCAAAACCAAACCCAAATATGTCCCCACTAGAAATATACATAAGCATAATCTATATGAAAAAGGCTATAAATGTTTTTTGGGGAAAGACTCCTAATTTTATGCATCTTTTAATTTCACACATCTTTCAAATGTAAAGAATTTAAAAAGAAACTTAAAAAAAGAATCAAAACAATGAAAAAGAAAACAAAACAAATAACAAAAAGAATCATAAACTAATATTAAAAGTATGATTAACATAGAAATAATAAATATAAAGTCATAAAACAAATATAAAAAATTATAATAAAAAAAAAGTCAAATTATAAACACCGTGTTTTAGCATTGATTTAAGTATTAAAATAAAAAATTATTACAAAATTAATATATATTAATGTTTACAATTTCAAAAAAAAAATACTAATTTTTATAAAACTATCGATAAACTCGAATTGGAAAATTTTCTGTCAATATATGATCATCGCTGAACACAACAATAAGATTGACTTCAAATTCTAGAAAAACAAAAATGAATTATGAGAAATGAAATAAAAACCTCTCAAACATATTTACAAAATGACTGAAATATATGATATTTGCATTTAAGAGTCATTCATTAACAAATAAGCAACAAAATAAATAAGCAATAATCAACATAAAACTTAAACATATCCAATAATATTTGAATGCAAACACAAAGGGCAAAAATGTTTGAGAGAAAAAAAATTATAAAAGACAAAAATAGTAAACCACTATAATTATTAACATTAGTTACAACCCAAATACACTGATTGCATCAGCTAAAGTGTTCCACTCATGAATTAAAAAAATAATAATAATAATGCAAGTTTATGGTGTCACAGTCAACAACACTATACAAGTAAGACTTTGAAAAGGTCAGAAAAAGCAAAATGATTGCATCAAAATCTGAAAGAAAAAAATATATACCTATTTTAAAATTTGTAGTTTCTAGTGTAGGGCAGGTAAATAAACGAGGTAAAACCATGTAAATCGGAATAGATATTCCTCTACAAACATCACCATCAGCTATCTTGAAAAAGGAAAAAAAAAACATACTACTATTACAAAATTATTTTATTAATAAAATGTTTACTTTAGTGTTTATTAAACTAGGTTGAGTGGAAACTAGGTTTACTGGAAACTAGGTTGACTGGAAACTAGATTGACTGGATTTTTTTGACAAAAACCAAGAGATTCGCTGTTGTTTTTTTTTAAACAAATCATTATAAGCACTATATTAATTTTTTAAAAAATTGTTTTTAAGCGATATTTGTTAAAACACTTGATTTTATTCTACTTTTTAGTATAAGATTTTATCAGTATTGTTTAACAAGCTTTATATAAATAAAAATGTTTTTGAAATAGGAACAATTTTGTTTGAATTTTTTATTAAAACTAAGAACAAATTTATTATTTAATAGAATGAATGAAAATTAGCTAATTAAAGATTTAAGTAATGAATAAAGTAAATTCATATAAATTTTGTATCATTTATTATTATAATTAAGCTGATTTAAATATGTGCTAATTAAATAAATATAATTGAACAAATATTTTTATATACGATTGATTGTTGGTTATTGGTGTCCATTACCACTGTTGGTGATAAAAGTGGTATTGAGATTAATAAAAAAATTTATTTAAAAATTCATAATTCAAGCTAATTAATTGCACAATTTAACTTAATGTCTTATTTCCTAATTTAAAATTCAGATCCAAATATGTTTTGTTTATTTTTCAACTTTAAAAATTGAATACAATTAAAATTAATATTTTTTTAAATTAACTGTAATCTATTGAATTTGCCATTTGCTAAAATTTATACCCAATTTTAAAAGAAAGAATTAAAAAAAAAAAGTTAATTTAAATAATTTAAGATAATTAAGATATTTTAAATGTTTTAAGTTTTCTTTTAGTTCTTGAATAATTGATTTTTAAGATAAAATCCTTTTACAAAGGCTTTTTTAACCTTAAACAATCCAAGAAGATATTGAAGAATATATTAAAATTAATATTGAAAACTAAAAATATTTTAATATCAAAGAGAGTTTAAAAAAAGTTATACAAAGTTCTGAGTAGGGTTTCCAATCCGGATATCCAGATATCTGATTATCCGGATAATCCATCTTATTTTGACTACTCAAAAATCTGGATAATTATCATTAAATATCCACCTATCCGGATATTTTTTGATAAACTAAAATTTGTTTTTAAACGGCGGGAAACTTTTAAACATGGAGTTAAAAAAATGGAAAATTTATATTAAAATAATCTTTTTAATAAGTTCAGTAAATTTACTCAAAATAAGTACTTATTTCTATTTTCTTTAATGTTAGCTTTTTTTTTTCCTTCACTTTGTAACAATTGTTTGTTGTTACACTTTGTAGCTCAGTTGTTTAAGCACATTAATATGTATATATTCTTTAAATTTGAGCATTTTAATTATAAATTAAATGTTTTTAATTTTCTATTTTATAATTTATTTTTAACTGTAAGTATAATGGTTTTACGATTCTTGAACAGTATTTATTTTTTATTAAATTGCTTTTAATTTCTTGTTTGCTTGCAGTATGGTTCATATTATTTTACTTTTTTGTTATCATTTTAAGGTATACTTTTATATAATAACAGTTTCTAGTTTGTTTTAAATTAGTAATACAACAAATTATTAGCATTTTTATATAAGTATTTAGTTTAATAAGTGATTTATTACACAAAATTCTAGATTAATATTTCACTCTAGATATATTACTTCCATTTTAAATTTATAATTAATTTTTAGATTTCTTAAACTTAAAAAATTGTAATGTCAAAACGATCTGATGTTTGGAACCATTTTAAGAGAAATGAAAAAAATAGGGATGTGGCTCTCTGTAAGCATTGCAGTAAACAACCAGGATGTAAAGGATCATCAACAACACCACTTCTTAACCATTTAAAAATTCATAACATTCTCTTAAATTCCTTTAGCCTAACAACTGCTACTAAAAATGTTAAATTCTCACTAACAGTAGACAAGTGGATTCATAACTCTATGAATAGATATCTTAATGTTACACTTCATGCCCTTGTTGATAACTCAATGAAAAAATTTGAAGTGTATGTATTGGGGTTAGTTCACATAAAAAGTACATGTAATGCTGAACAAACAAAACTATATGTTGAAAATAAGTTAAAAGAATTTGAAATTGACATTAAGTCAGATATAATATCATCAACACATGATGGAGCAGCCGTTATGGTCAAGTATGGAAGGCTATTAGGCATCATATCTCAACTTTGTTATAACCACGGTTTGCATTTAGCAATAACTGATGTATTGCATAAAAAACAACAATCAAAATTTTGTGAAGAAAATGAAGAAGTAACAGATTATGTAGATGTTAGTGAAGACATTTAAGGTGAATCTGTCAAAAACATTGATGATGAGTTGTCATGTTAGCACCTTCAAAACTCAAATAGTTTTGAAGATGGTAACATAATCTGCGAGCTAGAGAAAAACATTGAAATCATAGATCTCACTGAAGATTTTCAAGAAGTTATACAAAATGTCTGAAGAATCATAAAAATGATAAAATTTTCTTCAGTAAAAAACAACATGTTACAAGGATATGTTAATGAACAAGCAGGCATGACATTGCTGTTGATGTTATGTTAAAACTTGTGGAATATATTGATAGCCATGCTCAAACGATTCCTTCAAAGAAAAGGATCCTATAAATAAAACTTTAAATGAATTAGGGCAACAAAAGATTTCGTAAAAAAAGGAGAACGTAGCAACTTTAGAAGAACTATTAAATGTCTTATTGCCGATAGAAACTGCAATATAGGAGTTGAGTAAAAATTTTGCAACTCTTTTGACCGCTGAAGGTGTTTATAAATTTATATTTGAAAACTTAAATCAGTTACAAAATTTATATTTGAAAACTTAGATCAGTTACAAATGAATATAAGTAAAAATTTATTAAAACAGAAAAAAAACGAATGGATAAACGTTGTGATAAAATCCTCATGACATTAATAATCTTCTTAGAATCAGGCAATATTCCACATTCTACTAAATTTTTTGAATATACTTCAAAAGTTGCCGCTATTGCTTTAGCAGTAGAAATATTTAAAAGAATTCATACTTCTAGTGGTGACAGCAGCAGTACTGAGAACAATGAGGTTGAGGAAATTGCAAAAGAAATATCAAGTGAAAGTATGCCTAAAAGTCAAAGTGCTAATAATATTATGCAGCAAAAGCTGAAAACAGCTTTCCTCAATTACCCATGCAGAAAAGTAGAGCAGCAAAAATACTTCATTGTTGAAAAATGATTTTATGTTTTTAACAACCACTAAAACAAGAACAAATAACTTAAATATATTGTTTAATGCACTTCTAACAATTAGACCAACATCTACTGCAACAGAGCGTGTTTTTTCAATTGCTGGTTTAACGCGGACAAAAATTAGAACTCGTTTAAATTTTGAAACTCTTAATGCAATTATTTTTTTGAAATATGCATTTTTAAAAATGAAATAAATGTAATTAGTATAATTGTTTTATTTTTTCTTATATTTGATTTTTCGATGTATATCACTAAAATACTTAAGTTAAAATTAATTATTACTATGAATGTGTTAAGTTCAATCTATCTTTTTTTTTTTGTTATCCGGATATCCGGATATATCCGAATAATTTATTTATTTACAATTATCTGACATTAATGTCAGACAATTGTAAACCCTAGTTCTGAGGCAGTTAATACAAAGCAAATTAAGTAATAAAGATAATATCAGTATAAAATCACTCAGTAAATAATTTTTTGTTTTAATTCAAATGAGGAGAAAGTTAAGTAATACTCTTATTAGTAATCCAGAAACATGACTACAACTATTAAAGTTGAAAAAGAAATTTCACTTGCTGTAAAATTGGTACCTAACTTTATTATGCCTTTTTACTCAACATGAAAAACAGAAACAACTTGAAAAAATCTCAAACATTAAAGAGTTGAAAACATAAGAAAAATGCCACATTTTTCTTTCTATAAAGTAATTATTTATAAAAAAGCAGAGAGCGCATCTATATTTCAGGTTGCATGAGATAAAAAAAAATGGTCACACTTAAATACAACCTAATAGCAAGAAAATTAAATGTTAGCGATCTCATTTAACGCATGTGCTCATTTGCATGACTTCCTCATAGACAAAAATAAAATTTCGTACTTTAGTACATCCTATTGCAGCCAAGTTGTCCATGATCTACAAAAAAGCTCAAAAATCAGGTATATCTATTGTTGCAGCAACTATTCAACTTAAATTCTCAGAATATATTACAATTCATTTCTAACTTCCATTTGCAAAGTTTGTCCCCTCATGTATAAAAGATTCTACTCCTTTTCTTTAGATGCTTAAACTTCACCAGTGGTCACATTTCCTCCAACAATATTTTTTTTCAAAGCAGATGAAAGTTCTTTAAATACTTTATTTCCACATGAAAAGGTAAATAAGGTCATCAGAAGTTAACCTTTTGTCACTATATAAAAACAACCAGATAAGCAAGTATACAGCCTGCTGCTTCTTTTTGTACAACCTGTGTATAAATTTTTTTTTGTAAAACTTGTGTAAACTGAACAACTTGCTGCTTCTTTTTCTCATTAAGTGTAAAAATATAGACATAATCAAGAAGATTAAAGATCTGTACTTTTTGTTATGGTCATTTAATGAAGCATCACTCTAGAACTAAAAAAAAAAAGCAAACAAAACCAGAAGAAACATATATTGATGGTGGCCAGTCTATTTTACTTATGTCAATTTAAAAAACTTATCAAGCTGCAGAACCAATCAGGAATGAATTTTATGCAAGCAAAAGTTCATTAGAACTGCAAACCAATTCTAAAAAACTGGCATGAAGCTGCAGAACCAATCAAGGACAAATTTACGCAAACAAGTTTCAGCATTTCCTTAAGATCAAAAAATTTTTATTAAAAATCAACTTGTAGAAAGTCAATAATATATCATAAACAAATAAAAATTAATTTAAATACCTGCAAATTTTGAATTTCTGTGGCTAAATAACAATATAAATAACAATTATTCGTGACATTTAATACAGAAACTACACATTTTAAAACATATAACAATAATGGTGCCATATTTTTAGTGAGTCCTCTCTATGAGTATTATTACAAAACTAAATGAAACAAGTTTTATTGTTAAGATGAAATAATACTTGATTATAGAAGTATAATCCTAATGTTACGTGAAAAAGTTTTTTTATAGTATCAACCTAAGTATTAGACATAAATGTTTTTTATAGCATCAACCTAAGTATTAGACATAAATGTTTTTTATAGTATCAACCTAAGTATTAGACATAAATGTTTTTTATAGCATCAACCTAAGTATTAGACATAAATGTTTTTTATAGTATCAACCTAAGTATTAGACATAAATGTTTTTTATAGCATCAACCTAAGTATTAGACATAAATGTTTTTTATAGTATCAACCTATGTATTAGACATAAATATTTTTTAAATTATACTAAATTTACTAGAAAATGTTTAAAAAATTTTATAAAAAAAAAAAAAAAAAAATTATTCTTATAAAACAAAATATACTAAGCAACATCACAACTTATAAAAAAATTTTCTTGAAAAAAATTTTTTTTTTTAAATATATATATATATTCCTGAATAATTTATAATGGAAAAAACCTACGGTATCATATCAAAGTGTTTTTTAAAGCTTTCACCAATGGATTTTGACGTAGAGGTTCAATCCTCACCACACCCCTAGTAGTACTCACAATATCCTAGTCACAAGCTCAACTTGTTTCTTTGTATAGTGACCTTGTTCATAAAAGCTAATGTTTTGGAATTAAAGGGTTGTAACAATAATTAACAAAAAAAAAAGGTAACCTCAATTAAGGTGGATCCTCAGCCTTAGAAACGGGAATACAGTATTAAAAAAAAAAAGAAAACCTGTAATATTAAAACCTCAGTTAGCTTATGCTTTATAAGATTTCCTTAAAAAGAAAATTTAAAATTAAATTATAGATTTAATTAATCAATGCATAAATTATGCATTGATTGATTAATTATTAATAAAATTATTAGTTATTTTGAAGAACTGTGGAGTATAACAAAATTATCATTAATAACTTTCTATAAAAAGAAAGAATATCATTTTTAACTTTATAAATTTTAAGTTTTGAATTTTAAAAACAAATGCACAAAACGTCCTCTTTTTTTATAAATAATGTAGAGCGCCTTTTTAACTTTCTGGTTACTACAACTACAAGATTAAAAAAAAAAGAAAAGTTCTCAAAAGTTTTGATATATAAAAAAAAAACTTTAAATACTTTAAAAAAAAACTAAGAAATCTCCATCTGGAATTTTATTTTCGATGTTTGCTAATAAATTTTTGTGGTTAATATTATTAATTTTAAAAAACTAAAAATTTTAGCTGATTTGAATTCATGAACTTTAATTTTGTGCAGCAAAAATAAAGTTTATGAAAAATTATACTTAAAAAACTGAAAAACAAATTTAGAGTTTCTAAACTTTTTCTAAACTTTTGCATGAATAGTAAAAAAGCAAGATGAAATGCTATGGTAACTATGGTAACTTAGCAACAAACATAAAATGATGACTAAATAAATCTCTAGTATTTATTACCTTTTCAATGAATATTATATAATACAGACAATAATAAAAACAAATAAAACTAGTAATTAAAAAAAAAATTACCGTCTTTAGCATAACCTTCAGCACACCCTTGAAAATGAGAATTAAAAAATCAAAAAGGTTTGGCAAAAATAAAGTGATAAATTATAGTTTATAATAATTTTAACAGAATAGGATCTTACCACATGTTTCAACTCTTACAAGTTGCAGTTCAATTGATTTTATTGGCATTTCAGAATTTTCTATAGTCAATTCACCATAGAATGGGTCGACAATGTTACAATTTACTGACCTCAAAAATCCTGTCACTATGCAATTTGGAATTTTTCCAGAAACTTTTTGTGTTAATGCTTTAGATGAGATTTTGAAGGGAACTTCTTTATTTGGCTGTTGGTTAGTAAATTTAGGCTAAAAATTTAAAAGAAATTGAAAAAAATAAATTTACAACAAAATAAAGTTGTACAAAATAAAGCAGATGTATTCAATTTAATAACATTAACAACAAATAAAACCAAAATAAACAAAAATATCAAAATTATTTTAAACAAAAAAATCATGACATGTATACAAACACCATGAATAACTTAACATTACGAGAGATCTGCATAAACAAACATTATGATTAATCTAATACAATGGCAGGCCTACATAAACAAATATCAAAAAACAGAATAACTGATCACTGTGCACCAGAGAGACCGTCAGGTTTTGTCGTGGCACTCAAATGAAATCTTTTCTATTTAAAGTATTATAACAATAAAAAAAATGATTTTTAAAATCCGAACAAATTGCTAAGGGTCAAGAATGAGGCAAAGGGTAAATACAAGGGAGGCATAATCCCATTTAGGTATGCTAGGTGGATGTTACAAAAAAAAAGTTTTTTATTCAAAAGCATTTGTTTAATAAAAATAGATATAACCTTTTTTTTTTTTTAAAAGTTAAGGATAGTAAATGGGGTAAAGGGTAAAATTGAGGGGCCCTACGCCCATTTAAACATTTTAGATGCCTGTTACAATAATTTTTTTAAAATAAATTTTAAATATTTTAAACAAAGTATAAATAAACAAAAAAAATTCAAAAATGTATATTATATATATATATATAATGAACCTCCAACATCCAATAGAATCCTTATAAAGGCTGAAGTTGGGTCTAAAACATGTAATTTTAGCATGTCAAGTACAAAATCTGATTTATTTTGAACATCTACAAAATCTCATAAAACAAAATGGCCTTTACTATCAACAAACTCGCACTTCTGCACACTGCAGTAATTAGAAATATATTCTTCTAATTCAGAAAGATGACCAAAAATATTAGGCTTGATGGAAAGCTTATTTCCTAAACCTTTGCGTAAAGTAGAAAGCATCTCTTTTGTTTTTCTATTTGAAAGTTCTAACAATATTTGTAATTGTTTTATTATTTTGATGGAAAGCTGCTGAATAGAAGTTCTTTTTGATTTGTTTTCTGGTGTGCCAACTGACTTTGAGCAAATTTCCTCCTGTAGATAAACAAAACCTTGATCTGTCAATCAAACTTTCTGTAGCCATTTTACTTTTTAGAATTCCAGAAGCAACCTACATAAAATTTTCACAAAATGAAATTTGCATAAAAAACTAAAAACTTATAAACAAAATATAGTTTTTCTACCTGTTCAGCTTGAAGAGAACCTAGAAGAAATGACAGTGTAATGATACTATCACAGTACTGGTGGGTTTACAGTTATGATAATAACCAGGTGCAGGTAATGTATAGTAAAAGGAACATATACTGACTCAGTTGTCGGTAAATTAGTTATCGCATCTGGAAGAGTTAGACTGGTACTGGAGCTATTTCTTAAAAGAGTTTTCCACTCTACCTAAATAAATGTACCTTTTTTAAATAAACAAAAGAAAAAACAAGACAAAAAAAAAAAAAATTAAAAAATCATTAAATATACCCTGGTAACATGAATCCATGAGGTGAGTCTCCCTTTTTGAGTCTGTATTTGACTGACTAGATTTCTTCGGCAACCAGGACAAACAACTGATGGATAGCAATAGTTGTTCATCGAATATCATGGAAAAATAAACAGTCAAATTTGTTCTTCTAAGTTTTTATTAAATTTTTTCAATGATTTTGATCTTTCACCATTCTTTTCCCAGTAACAGTAACAAGTAAAATTCATATTTAAATGAAAGAAATTCAACTCCTAAATAACAAAACCTTCGGCAATTTGAAAATTTATTTACTACCATCTTTTTTATCTCGGAAAATTTTTTGATAAGTTAGTACAGGGGGTAACCAACCTTATAAGTCCATCTAATATGAGGTTACAGTATAATTAATGCAACAAATAGTTAATTCTAAGTTAAATATATATATATATAAAATTGTATAAAAATATTTTTTAAACATGTATAATTTTATTTTTAAGTTATCTTATTGAACAATATATTTTACAAAATAAATTATGTTAATTCCATTAAAAAAATATCCAACAGTGGTTTCCAGGTATAAAAACAATTTTTTTTAAACTTTTTTAAGTTAGATCCAGCAAAAAATTAAGAAATATTATTACAATTTTACAATATATATTTATCAAATAAGGTATGATAGAACGCTTTTCAATTTAATATTATATATCTTGTTTTATTAAATTTTATTTAATAAAACAAGATATATAATACTTTCATATAATAAGGACTTTGTTTGAGCGCCAAGACAAAAAACCTGGCGGTCTCTCTGGTGCACAGTGTGATATAAGCATAAATATTTTTGTTTATTTCTAAATTAAGTGCTTTTATAACCTTCATTTAACCATAACTCTATAACACCAAAACACAAAATTTAATAAGACTACTGTTGGGTCGTTCTGTGCCAAATGGTCTAAAATTTTAGGATTCCAACATGGACCCCCTCAGATTTTGATGAAACTTAGTGGGTTGGTTTATATCAATGAGAAAAGCAATTCCTGAAAATTTCAGCTTCAAATCTTATGTGGTTCATGAGATATGGCCATTTGAAATTTCTGATTTTTCCAAAAATAAAAACTTCAGTAGCAAAAACATGTTTTGTTCATACTTTGAAGCTCTGTATTTTAAAAACTAAATTTCAGAAAACCTTCTAGTTTTTTTTATCATATACAATGCTAGGCTTACTTTGTTAAAACTTTGACATTAAATTTTTAAATGTCACATTTTATCCATAATGGCTGCCTTAAAAACCGAAAAAATTGTTTGCAGATATAGAAAGTTGATTTTTGATGGGTCAATATACAAAACTAGCAATTTAAGAAGTAAAAATACATATCTTTTTAGTTTCTATATATGGTAGGCTTCCTAATTTTCAGAAATTTGCTGATATGATACAATTCAGTAAGAAATTATGGACCCCTAAAAATGGCTCTGGCTAGAACTTACAAAATTGTGCCTTCCCTTAAATCCACTGGTAACCTATGATCAACACTGATTTTCATGATATACCTTTTTTCTACTCATTTAGTAGACTTTATTAAAGTGATTTCAGAAAAATTTTAATGCATTTTGTTGGCACAAAATGCATTAAAAAAACAAAAAATAGAGATATTGATGTACTTTAGTATTCATTATTTACTGCAATGCAAAAAAATGTATATATATATATATGAAAGTATATCAAAATCATTGCTACAAACTAGCTTTAAATTAGGACTGAATTAAACTCAGGTTTTAAATAACCTTAGTTGCCCCCCACATATATATATATATATATATATATATATATATATATATATATATATATATATATATATATATATATATATATATATATATATATATATATATATATATATATATATATATATATATATATTTATATATATATATATATATATATATATATATATATATATATATATATATATATATATATATATATATATATATATATATATATATATCTGGAAGAAAATACATATGTATTTTCTCCCAGAACTTATCTTAAAAGAAATATGTTCTTGTATGTTTTACTTTACAAAATGTGTCTGATTTTTTTTCGAATGCATGAAGTGTTAATGCACAAAAAAACAATTGAACATACACAGTTAAAAGCTGTGACATGGCAAACAAGTTATTGAGTGTACTTTTTATCTTTATTTCGTATATAAAATTTATCATTCTATATTTATTTATTGTCAAAACTTATGGAAACTTTATTTTACACTTCAAAAATTGAAAATAAATATATTTTTTTTAGATAATAATTAAAAATAAATGGAAGTGTTCATCTTTAGATCTAACTCAATGTTGCATTGGAAAAAAATTAAATGAAAATTGTCATGAAGGAAAATTTACCAAAATCAAGAAAATTAAATTTTTTGAGGAATTAACAAAAAAAGATCAAGAGCTTGTGCACTTAAGATGTAAAGTAAATCCTATTAAAACTATTTGTAATCACCATGAAAAGATCTTCTTGGATTTTGAGTCATCGTATGTTGGAAGCTTTTGTTGTGATCCTTTTAACAAACACAAAATTAAAATTAAAAGTATTTAAAAATAGATTAACTTAATGATTATATTAAAGATAAAGTCTTCTTTATTTATTTATTTAGTGTTTTATCATATATTTTTTTAGAATCTGTCAGAGTAATCAGTGCTGCTGTTGCAAAGGAATTTGATTTAATACCTGGTTATAAGATTTTGTACAGAATGTCTTAAAATATTGCACTTAAAAAAACAAGAACATGAAAGCGATTCATGTAAAAATCAAGATAACGACTTTAATGGGATTCATATTTCAAAAGAAAACTTTAATTTAAGCATTAACACCTTTGGTTGTTCACCTCTAAAACTAGTAGCTTATAAAGACAGAGTCAGCTATGCAAAAAGAAAGATTAAAAAGATCCATACTGCAACCAAAAAGAAAATAGCAACTGTTTTAGATGTTTCTCCGGATTTAATAAATGATGAACCAAACACAAAAGAACTTTGTTGCTAAAGTAAACAAGATTTGGACTAACTAATGGAATTAATTAAAGCAAAGTTTGATATTTCTTCAAAACCAGAAAAACTTAAATTGCTAACTTTGGTTCCTGAGAGTTGGAACATTAACTATACAGAAAACTATTTTTCTGCTTCCCAAAGAATGATAAAAACTGCAAGGCATTTGAAACAAATGCATGGCATAATGGCGGAGCCGTCTAAAAAAGAAGGAAGATCTATTAGTGAGAAAGTAAAAAATCTAGTCCATGAATTTTACCAATCAGATGAATACTCTAGAATGTGTCCAGGAAAAAAACAGTATGTCTGAATCCAAGTTGATGGTAAAAGACAACATTTTCAAAAAAGACTGCTATTACTTAATATAAAAGAACTTTATTTAGAGTTTGTTAAAATTTCCTTAGATGTCAAGATTGGATTTTCTAAGTTTTGTGAACTTAGACCAAAGTGGTGTATTCCTGTTGGAGGTGCTTCAGGTCTCCACTCAGTATGCGTTTGTGAGTACCACCAGAATGCCAAACTTTTAGCATTAAAAATACCAGATATTTCAGACTATAAAAATCTCTTGACATTAGTTGTATGTGACTTAACAAATCGAGACTGCATGCTGCATTGTTGTGATAACTGCCCAGATAATGACACACTTAAAGAGTATCTTACTACTTTGTTTGATAAACATAGCACTGAAGAAATCAACTTTAATCAGTGACAAAAAGCTAACAAAAAACATGATATAGTTCCGGTAACTCTTCCAGTGGACGATTTTATTGAAAAAGCTTGTCAACAAATAGACCAATTAAGAGACCATCACTATATAGCCAAAAATCAAGCAGCATATTTGCAGCATCTAAAAAACACATTAGCAAGTAATCATATTTTAATATTATTAGACTTTGCTGAGAATTACAGTTTTTTAATTCAAGATGTAGTACAAGGTTTCCATTGGAACAATAGCCAAGCAACATTGCATCCTTTTGTTATTTACTTTATGGAAGAAAACAAGATAAAATGTAAAAGTATTTGCATTATCTCAGATAATTTGCAACACAATACAAACTCAGTACATTGTTTCATTCATGAAGTATTAAAACATTTAAAAAACTTGATACCCTACTTTAACCACTGCATTTATTTCAGTGATGGTGCAAGTTCACAATACAAAAATTATAAAAATTTATCTAACTTATGTCACCATAAACAAGATCATGACGTATCTGCAGAATGGCATTTTTTTGCTACATCACATGGAAAGAGTGCGTGTGATGGTGTTGGGGGAACTGTCAAAAGACTTGTAGCAAGGGCAAGTTTACAATCACTAGTTGATCCTATTAAATCATCTAAAAAAATGTATGATTGGTGTAGACAAAATATTGATGGAATACATTTTCAACACATTTTAAATGATGCAGTTACATTACATTGCATGAAATTTAAATTAGAAGAACGTTATGGTACTTGTTTAACAATTCCAGGAACAAGAAACCACCATTGTTTTATACCACAATCATTAACTACTTTACAAATGAGACGGGTTTCATTCGACAATGTGTTTACTAATGTAAATATTTCAAAAATGCAACAGAACTATACAATTCCACTTGCATCTCTTTCACCAGGAATTTATATAGCATGTGTTTATGATGGAAAATGGTTTTTAGGTAATATTGTGGAAATATCTGAAGAAAATCAAGATATCCTTATAAAGTTCATGAAGCAGTCTATTTCCTCAAACACTTTTACTTGGCCACATAGAGAAGATATTTGCTGGGTTCCAATAATGCACGTTCTATGCAAAATTTCATCTTTAAAAGTGCAATCAGCAACTGGTAGATACTATGAACTATCAGCTCAAGAAAAAACTGAAATAATACATTTGTACAATAATTGTTTAATAACGAAATTATATAATAACAAAGCAAAATTTTTATAAGCTTGATCAATCGAAAAAATGTATTAAAGCATACTTGAATAATTCCATCTTTATGTTGATTTTTTATTAAATAATGTTTTTTAATGCATAATACATATTATATAATTACATAATAAACTTGTGTATCGCAATGACAAATCAAATTATTCTTATCACTTGATATAATCTGTAATCTAAATTTAAACATGACAATAATAAAATGGGGAAAATGATACTAAATTTAAGTCAGAATATAAAACTGTAAGATAATAACTGATATAGAAACAAAAATGTGTTGTGTCTAATAAGCATTTACAAATAAATAACACAGCTATTATTTGAGTATGTTCAATGCTTGGTGCATAAAAATACTTCATGCATCAGATATAATAAGAGAAACACTGCATAAGCTAAAATGTTTAATAAACAGTAGTTTAAAATGTTATCTAGAAATAATTTCTTCTTAAGATAAGAATGTTCTGGGCAAAAATGCGCATTTAAAAAAATAAAAAGACAGGGGGTGGGGGGCAACTAAGGTTATTTAAAACCTGAGTTTAATTCAGTCCTAATTTAAAGCTAGTTTGTAGCAATGATTTTGATATACTTTCATATATATATATATATATACATTTTTTTGCATTGCAGTAAATAATGAATACTAAAGTACATCAATATCTCTATTTTTTGTTTTTTTAATGCATTTTGTGCCAACTTCATTGTTCTGACTTTGTAACTTCCCCATGAGTACCCACTATTTTTTTTTCTGAAATCACTTTAATAAAGTCTACTAAATGAGTAGAAAAAAGGTATATCATGAAAATCAGTGTTGATCATAGGTTACCAGTGGATTTAAGGGAAGGCACAATTTTGTAAGTTCTAGCCAGAGCCATTTTTAGGGGTCCATAATTTCTTACTGAATTGTATCATATCAGCAAATTTCTGAAAATTAGGAAGCCTACCATATATAGAAACTAAAAAGATATGTATTTTTACTTCTTAAATTGCTAGTTTTGTATATTGACCCATCAAAAATCAACTTTCTATATCTGCAAACAATTTTTTCGGTTTTTAAGGCAGCCATTATGGATAAAATGTGACATTTAAAAGTTTAATGTCAAAGTTTTAACAAAGTAAGCCTAGCATTGTATATGATAAAAAAAACTAGAAGGTTTTCTGAAATTTAGTTTTTAAAATACAGAGCTTCAAAGTATGAACAAAACATGTTTTTGCTACTGAAGTTTTTATTTTTGGAAAAATCAGAAATTTCAAATGGCCATATCTCATGAACCACATAAGATTTGAAGCGGAAATTTTCAGGAATTGCTTTTCTCATTGATATAAACCAACCCACTAAGTTTCATCAAAATCTGAGGGGGTCCATGTTTGACCCTGGTTCACTTGGCATGGAATGACCCTGTTTTACTCTCATTTGGGGCAGTAACTGTAGATGATGATTTTACGAGGGTGGGGGCATGCGTGGATGGGACAGTAACAGTAGATGATGCATTGTAGTCAGTGAAGAACCCAGAGTTTATTTGGGGATATCATTTTTTTTTTTTTCAGCAACGCTGTGGGGGAGGTGGGATTATGTTTTTGATTTACCCCTCCCCCTCATTCTCCTCTAGTTAAAAAGGTGCCACAACAATAATTTTTAATCATCATTTTCTTAATAATCATTTATGTTTATCTTGTTCAGTTTTATCCTATAATAAGGTGTTGATTTAAATGCATTTTTTGAATGCATGAACTTACTGGTGGACAATGTTACTTTAGCTAAAAGAAAACTAATTTACTTAAGATTTTAATAAACGCATTTTTTGCTTATACTACACTATCAGTAAAAAATTATTGAAAATTGTTTAAAGTATTTTAAACAGTTATTAACCATATTTTTGTAAATTTAATTTAAAATAATAATTTAAAAAATTTTAAACAATTTTTATTCAATATTTACATTACATAACATATTTACATATATTATTTCGCATAATATTTGTAAAATTAACAAAATAGTTTTATGCCTTGTATTTGAATTAAAAACATAAGCACTTAATAAAGAAATTCGATAAGCATTTAATAAACGTATTTAATAAACTATTCAAATAAAAACATAAGTATTTAATAAACTTGTTTTCTATTATTTTAAATTTTAAATTTTGATTTAAATATTAGTAAATCTGTTCATTTAACTTTTACTAAAGGTTATAAATTTTAAAGTGATATTAAGGCGCCTTTTAAATTAAAGATAATTACAGTAAACATAATTTAAAAAATATTCTATTATTTTGATTAAAAACCATATTATATTTTTAAAAACATATTTTAAAAAATATATATTTTTAATTATTAAAAATAATTTTAAAAAATTACATTTGAATAAATAAATTACATTTACTATGGGTTATATAAAACAGACCCAAATAAAACTTTTATTAAGCTATTAAAACCCTTTTTTTTTATTATTTTAAAAAGAATATTGAAAGGAAAAAAAACTGTCTGAAAAAGTTTATACTTCGTTTTTTTGTTTTCCTCACGTAAACTAAAATAGCAAGCTAAAGATCAAAAGTTCATTCATTTAAAAATTAAACTTGCGTGATAGTTACAAGGACTGATATTTTTTACTTTTATTCATTTATTATCAAAAACAGTCTACTCTTAATTGAGGGTCGTCCATAAAGTATGTATGCTTTTTTATGTCTACCCCCCTCTTCCTCAATTTTGCAATACGCTTTTTTGAGTACCCTCCACCTTCCTAAAAGTAACTATGCTTTTAACCTATTTATCTAACATTTTATGATATTTTTTTTAATTTAGTGTTTTCTTTCTTTGATAATTTACCCACTGCCACTTCATTTCATATACACCATTAGCAGACTTTCTCTTGCCCTCCGAGCGTACATACTTTATGGAGGATCCCTTGCCAAAAACAAAAATTAACCTTACACTGAATGGATTTAACTTTCAAAAAATCAAATCTTTTATACATTCTCTTATTATAAAATTTTGCAACATGGTTTTAAAATTAAGTTTCGTAATGACTTTTATTTTTTTTAAAGTTTTATCCAGTAATTTGCCTTCAACAAATAAAGGCAAATTACATCACGTAATTATGTAAAAAAGCAATTTCTTTTTAATTCTTTTTATTTTCCTTAAGAAAAGATTAGGTAGCTAAATTAAACTGAGAATTATTTATATACTACTGAATTTAAAACTAAACTTATTTTTCTTTCTATTTTTCATAAAAAATCAAAAAAAAAATTAAAAATAAAAATAATTTATGGGCGCTTTTTTTTTGGGCGCCCATACTGGTAAAATGGTACTAAAACACGTCTGGGTTCTTCACTGGTAGTGCACTGTAGTTAATACGACTGTTAAAGGAGATCTTAAAACAGTAAAAAGATTTAAAATAATACATCAACACCTTTCAAGATATGAGAGTTCCATGTGGGAACGCCAAATTCATGACGAGTACGTAAGTGGTGTAAAGTTTTTTCCATAGTTTTGCATCTCTACTTATAGAGGTTTGTTTTAGTAAACCAAACATTTTCTTAGCTTTGGAGGCCACATTAAGAGATTGGGTTTTGAATTTACTCTTAAAACAGTCAACAGATTTAAACTAATACATCAACACCTTTCAAGATATGAGAGTTCTTATATAGTTCATCATAAGGTTAATTTTTGCGGCCGTGGCGCAGTGGTTAGAGTGCTTGCTTTATAAGCAGGAGATCCAGGTTCGAAATAAAGGCTTGGTCATATTTTCTCGTCACGGTAAGGAAGGAGGCGTGAACTTTTTGGTTAAATGCACTTCCGCAGTGCTTTGTGACAAGACCGTTAGGTCTTCTTGGAGCACCTAAATAACGATTGAAATAAAAAATTTAAGATTATTAGAGGTGTGAATGTCAAGGTCTTTTTTAAAGATTGTGGCAGTAAGATTATGACCAAATACAATTGACAAAGCAATTCTTTTTTAATTGCTTGACAACCGTATTTGGTTATAAAATAAGAACTGTTGAGACAAGACAAAAAGCATAAAATAAAACAGAAAACATACAAAATACAGAAGGCTTTAATACAAAACAGAAAGCATAAAACAAGACAAGAAGTATACAATAAAACAGAGAGTTTATAATGCAGAAGGTATAAAACAAGACATTAAGCATACAGTAAGACAGAAGAAAGCAATAACACCGAGAGTTGAATATTTAAAAGTATTTAAAAGCTTTTTTCCAAGTTATTGATAAAGTAAATTTTTTACTTTCATTAATTTTTATACTAAATATTGTGTAAAAATAAAATAAATTAATTTTTTTTAATTAAGAAAAAAAATGTATTAAAAATAAGTAGTGATGTGATAAAAAATGAACAAATAACCAAAATAAAAGTAAAAAAAAAAAAACTAACTTTATACTCTATCAGGAAATCACACGTTTTTTGTAGATCTTTATTCAGTAATGATCTTTTCATTTCACATTTTATTTCATACTAAAATTGTTATAGACATTTTAAAACTGTAAAAGATTATATAAAACAATTTTTTTTTTTAAATACAGTAAAGTAAAACAAATATAAATTATTACACAACATATGTTAAAAAGTTTTATAGTATATAATAAACAAGATCTAGTATAACTTAAAAAAAAAATCCTTTTTTTTTTCCAAATTTTTTTCTAAAAAATGTAAGGATATAAAGTTAAGATTTCAATGAGTAAAGTAAATAAGTGCCCAGAAAAGTCTCAAGGCTAAAATGTTAATATGTATGTGAAGACTACAGGGAAAAAAGGCACATGTCACATATTTCCACTTTTAAGATAAATGAAATTTTGTCTTTGAAAGTCGCTATTTTTTCCCCTGTATGACTTTTCTTTGGGTGTTTCTGTAGCATTACATAGGCCTTTTTTGGGTTGGATTTTACTATTTTGCTAACTTTCAGGCTTATGTTTATATAGTAGGGGACATAACTCAAATAAATGGAAAATATGACATGTGCCTTTTTTTCCCCTGTGGTCTTCATGCATATGCTATTAATTTTATTAGACTAAACTTTGAAAATATATATATTTTTTTTTTTTCATTCAGTGACACTTTTTAAATACTTACCATAATCTTGATAAACACACCATGATAAGATTCATATAAAGTTCTATTTTTCAATGGCGCTAATACAACTTCAAATGGTATTTCATTATGACCACTAAAAACAAATAAAAAAGCAATCAGAGCCTATTCTAGGAAAAATATTTGGGCAGAAGTTTCTCTCTGCCCCAGAGAAAATTAGCGAAACATTTTTTTTCAAAAAAGAACAATGATTGCCATAAAAAATGTGAAAAAAAAAAGAAAAAAAAAAAGACCTCAAATTAATTTGGGCAGTGCCCAAATACCGCCGACACTGTCAAAAATGATTTAGAATAGCCCCTGGCGATACAAGTCCTATTATACTCTTTCCCTTTATTTAAACTTCAAATTATTTACTAAAATTGCAATTCTAAGTTAAACTTTATACAAGTACACTTTCTAAATACGATTTCTATTTAATTCCAGGCTATTTAAGTCAAAAGTTACAAAACACAGTTTTTATTTATTTCCAGGTTAGTTCAGTTGAAATTTACTAAAAAAAAAAGAGAAAAATTGTTATAGAGTAAGAGAGCAACTAACAGAAAACTTAAAAAGCTACCAAATATATTAACTAGAAAAACATGATGAGGGGGGAGAAACTTGAAGTCCTAATGATTGTGGAAAAACTAAATGAATAAAAAGTTTCTGAAACATAAAGCAAAGTGTAACTCTAAACCATAAGGAATCTTATGAAAAAAAAGGAAATGTTTAATTTTAGCTTCAAGAGCCAAACTAATGATAATAAAGAGGTTTTGCAAATTATCTTAATGAAAAAAGAAATTATTAAAAAAAGAGGTGAAGTATTTCCAGATCCCAGTCTTTAATTCATTCATTGTGTTTCTCTATGTAAAATTATCAAAATTATTGTAAAAATTTCTCAAAAATAATTGTTTCATTAAAGATAAAACTCACAAGCTAGTGCAATCCTCTAGCATATGTAAAATATTATCTATTAGTTAACAAAAGTATTTAAATTTAAAGGTAATTAACATATCCCTTCAATTAAGAAAAAACTTGATAATTCTGAAAATACTTAAAAATGGCTTTGTATTGTGTAGATAAGGAGTTAAAAAATAAACTACTTTTTATAGAGCTTGTAATATATGATGAATTGAGACAGGGTTGGCACCCAAAAACCCAAACCCAAAAACTCAAGAGCAAAAACCAACTAAAAACCTAACTTAATGGGTTTTTGGTCTTTGGTAACCCAACTTTATGGGTTTTTGTATTTAAAATATTTTTATTCATAAATTAATTTCCATTTACACTCAAGATTTAATGCTGCTCAAAAATTGTTATAAAAACAAAAGTTTAGTGAATTATAAATGAGATTTTATTTTATTTGGAGTAAAAATATTTAAACTTAAAGGTTTAAAACAAAGTTAAAACGACTTAGTCATCAGGAATTGTTCATCTTAATGTATGTAAATTTGTACAAGCATTTTTGCTTTTCCTCTTCCTAAAAGATTCCTAATTTTCCTAAATATCTTGATTCCTAAATCAGGCTTCATTTAACCATTCCTCAGCTTCTTCTTCTTGACTTCTATCCTAGGTTCTTTTATTCTTCAGCCATTCCTCAGCTTTTTCTTCTTGACTTCTATTCAAGGTTCTTTCTATTTTTTATCAGTATTTATTTTAATTTGATCAGATGCAAGTTTTTAATTTTTTTACAATTTTATAGTTACCTTTACATTTTAGATCTGTTAAATTGGCCAGAAAATGATATGGAACAATTGTTTTCTTAAACCTCTGTAAAATATCATCTTTGTATCATCTTGGATACTTTGAGCAATTATAAAATCATTACTAAATGTAATCCAATCATCATGAATTAGGATAACAACACAATCATCATCAAGATCACATTTCTTTATATTGATTATTTCTTCGTTTATTTTCTGATTACTTGTTGTTGAAGTAACAAATTTAGAAACAGATGTTTGCCATTGTATCGTCATTGCAGTTAAATGAACAATGATTTGATTTGACAAAGATTTACTAATAAAGCTAAAGTAATCTTGATCATTATCTTCTCACTTGTTTGATGCTGCAAATGTAGATGGTCTTGATGTATTGCTAAATACTTCTGCGTTTCCTATTTTCTTACTTCTGAATTTATCAAAATGGATCTTAACTCTCACTACTTTTTTAATCTCTCTGACTGACTGTTCTCTTTGCAATGATTACATATTAATCTAATTGGTTGATCACTTAACATGGTCACTTCATTCTACCCACTAGCCTAATTTCTTCCCTCAAATTGATACTTTGACATGTTAATGTCAAAGAAAGACGTATAATTCAGTTTTATTTTGAATTTGACTAAAAAGATAACTCAGTTAAACAATAAATTTATATTAGAAAAAAATGCAATCTGATTATAAATTAAGCTTAAGTATAAAAAAATATAACTTTAAAAAATGAAAAATAGCTTTTAAATTACTAAAAATTTATCAAACTTTGTAACTAAAGATTTGTACGCAACTTAAGTAAAAACTAAAAAACCCAATAACCCACCCAAAAACCTAGTTGGGTTGGGTTTTTGCTTAAAAACCCGGGTTTTTGCCAACCCTGATTTGAGATGTGGTGAACTGTAAACCTTGTTTTTTAGAAAAAAATTAATTTAAAAGACCCAAAAAAGATTAAAAAGTAAAAAAAAAAAATTTTTAATTGATGGATTCCCTTACGGAAATATTCCATGGAAAACCCATCGAATTTCATGAGTAAACCATGGTTTTCCCATGGAAAACGGAAATTCCATGGAATTTTCATGGGTGAATTTCATGAAAATTGAAATCCGATAGGTTTTTTTTTTATAGCTTATGCTGCGCCATGGTTGTTACGAATGCGCTTTTAAAGATGGCATCATAGCTCGTACAGTTACGATTACTTTTAACTTTAGTAAACAAACTTACTGCATTCTTCTGTTTTTCTGTGTTTAATAAGACTATAAATGATATGTTTTTTATAATGCATCATATTTATATGATTCAAATTAAACATACAGACATAAACAACTAGATATATTTATCATATTATAATGCATTATAAAATGGATTATTTTTAATTATATTTAATTCTATATCATTTATGCATATATTTATTTTAACTGTTTCCAGTAGCTTTGCATAACTTGCAATAGTATAGCAAGTTGACATACTTGCTATACTATTGCCAAGTAAACCAGTTTGAATTTTAATGCTTTCTTGGCAAATTATTTGCCAAATAATTATTATTTGGTTAACAACAAATAAACGTTTAGTTTTAATCTACATTAAATAACTAGTGTATTAATGTACATAGTGTAATCTAATGTACATTAAAACTAATACAATCATTATTATAAAACTTATCTAACATATTAAACAAACTTATCTAAAATATTAATATATAAGCAGTATATCAGGTAAGATTAGATAACTAAGATAAGATAAGATAATAAGATTAGATAACTATTGTACAAAAGATAACTAGTATAATCTATTTTTTTTTAATAATATCCTTAGATTACATAAAAATGCTTCAAGTTAATTGTATGGTAAATGTTCATTAAGTATTAAAAAACGTTATTTTATGATAAATGTTCTATTCAATTTTAGTTCTGTTCAGTTGTTTTTTCTTTAGAATTATTAGAATATGTAAATAATGTAATATAAATATTGTTTATAAATTCTTTTATATTTACTTTATTATTTTATTCAAATCACTACATTATAAGCTGACAGGTTTGACTGGCAATATAAATAATGTTGTTCATTGTTTATATTGCTTATAAAATTGTCAGTTTTTATATGCATTTAATATTTTTAAAAATAGTTCAAAAGCTGTCAAAATAAAATGGTGAATTTAATTTAAATTAACCAGAAAAGATATAAACGTAATCTTTGGGATTCAACTTGTAAGGATGTTCCAAGAACCACTTAGTTGGAGAAGGAAAACTGTGGTAATGTTTTAAAAGTATCAGAAAGGGAAGTTAATTATGCACAAGATTTTACTTTATAGTTAAATATAAGCATATAAAAGCAATGTTTATAAATAATACACTATTATTTATTATAATACAATTATTTTTATTTGTTTATATTTAACTAATGTAAAGTGCTCGTCTTTAGTTAAAATAAATTAATTTATGCACACACTTTGATATTTATTATGCTTTTACATTACTATACTTTATAAATTACATATTTATTATATTTGTTATGTTTTAAATAGTAAAGTAAAAGTATAATAAATTTTTGAATTTAATGGTGTGTGTATAAGTTCTTTTATTTGAACTTTATCATTTTATTTAAATTACTGCATTATAAGCAGGTTATTTTGACTGACAATATAAAATGTTGTACATCATGCAGACAGCTCAGACAAAGAAGTAAGTTTTTACTTAAAATTACAATTTATATGTTATACTATATTTGTTGCTGTCTTGTTCTTTATAAATGTTACTAACATGCAGGTAAAATTTATATATGTGTATAAATCTTTTCATTTTAACCTTATCATTTCATTTAAATTACTACATTATTAGCAGGCAGGTTTGACTTGCAATATAAATTTTTAATTTATTTATTTAGCCGTTCATTAACAAGTCCGGTGCTTTATAATATATTTAAAGATGGTAAGGATGTAAAGAAAATAGGTTTGTAAATGATGTTGTACATCATGCAGATAGCTCAGAAGAAGTAGTAAGTTTTTTTTTAATTACAAAAATAAATAAGTAATATAATATTTGTTGCTGCCTTGTTCGATATAAATGTTTCTAACATGTTTGATATAAATGTTTCAAACATGTTTCTTTCATTACATTATAGGCAGGAATGTTTGACTGGAAATATAAACGATGTTGAACATAATGCAGATAGCTTAGCCAAAAAAGAGGTAATAATCTAATAATTGTTATTTATAAATAATGATATATTCATTGCTACTTTTTTCTATATAAATGTTACCTAACATTTGGCAACATTCATAATTGTGTATAATGGCTTATTATAAAGTAAGTTATAATAGATAATAATTATAAGTAAAATGAATCAGTAAATAAAGAAAACTAGTTAGAATGTATATAATAGTTGTATGATGTATTGTCTAGATTGGTGAAATGGAGAATGAGACTAACTACGGTGAAAAAAATAATGAATATCAAAATGTGAATGGTACTTTGTTTGACATCTACCTGTTTCTACAGATACAGTGCAGTCGCACTTATAAATGGGTTTGATGTTTTTTTTGGATTGAATATGTTGTATTGATGGTTCTTTTTAACTTGTTAAAACTCTAAGTTATTATCAAATTTATATATACTATTTTTATCAAATAGTTAATATAAAATAATAAACATGCATATTGTTTTATTTTCTGTAAAAATTGTTTTCTTGGTATATTTCAATTGTTTATCACTATGTATATCACTTATAGTATTATATTACTTGTAATTTTTTGTTTTATTTATTTTCAGTATCTTATACATATGCATGCATTAAATATTGTGGGGAAGTCAAGTTTTGATGTTTTAGGTGCATTATAGCTATTACTTTTCAAAGATTTGTAGGATTTAACAAGATTTAAATTTTATTTTGTTTATTGATTTTATTCGGAGAAAGTGATCCCATAGATTAAGAGAACCCAATAATATTAGTGTGATAAAATTTGCTTTTATGATTTAATATGACAATTCAAATAACATTAGATCAAAAAAACTTGAAAACAAATCATGCTTTTTTACCATGAAAAATCCATGAGTTTTCCTTGAAAAGGTGTTCCTAATACCTATTGAAATTACATAGTTTTTTCCATGGATGGAAATCTCATTGAATATCCATGGTATTTGGAACACTTTTCCATGAAAAACTCATGGAATTTTTCATGAGAAACTCACGGGTTTCCCATTAAAACTCATAGGTTTTTCATGGGAAACTCATGGATTTTCCATGGAAAACTCATGGGTTTTCATTGAAAACTCATGGGTTTTCATTGAAAACTCATGGGTTTTCCATAGGAAACTCATGGATTTCCCATGGAAAACTCATGGGTTTCCCATGAAAACGTGTTCCAAATAACCATGGTTTTTCCATGGGTTTTTTTCATGGGTTTTTTCATGGGAATTTTCCAAAAGGGTTGCCTGCCCAAACCAAAACTCTCAGTCAATTTAGCAGCACTCCTCATATATTCTACCTATTTATTAATCGATGTAGCAGCATTCCTCACAAGTTTTACTTATTTGTCAGTCAATATAGCAATACTCCTCACAATTGTAATAAAATTATAAAATTTATTTAAATAAGAAAAATGTTTTTTAAGTTAATATAAACACTTGGAAGACAATTCTAATTTAATTTCATAACTTAAGCAGATTAGTCAAAGAGGTACCTTAGTAATTATTATATAATATATTATATATAATATTTTATAAATATACTTTATAAGTGTACATATATATATATATATATATATATATATATATATATATATATATATATATATATATCTATATATATATATATATATATATATATATATATATATATATATATATATATATATATATATATATATATATATATATATATATATATATATATATATATATATATATATATATATATATATATATATATTATAAGTGTACATATATATATATATATACATATATGTCAATAATATATTACATTTTTATTCAAGCGATATAATTACCTTGGTAATTTTCCTGGTTTAGCAACCTCAATAACATTGCGTAAAAGGGAAACAGGTTTAATTGAGTTATAAAATGCTTCAAACAAACCAACACTTTTTGCACTTAGTTGCATGCTGACAGTACCCTCTAAGGTTAATGTAATACCAGAATGCACAACTTCATTGCGACTATCAACAACAACTGTACCAATCAGTTTTTCCTAAAAGATTTTTTTTAAACATAATTTAAATAAATTTAAAAAAATAAATTTTAAATAAGTCCAGTTAAGTGTTTTAGTTTTAAATATGCGTTCAAGACTAAAATACTTAACTGGGCTTTAGATGGTTTTAATATGCAATATTTTCAAAATAATTTCATTTAATTCAAAATTTAAATGATTAATTTTGAATTGATATTTTAATAATTGATTTTGAATAAAATTAAAAGTAATAATTCAAAAATTTTGGAAAGTTACAGTAATTTTAAAAACAAAAAAAACTGCCAAATTTGTAGCTTTCTGTAAATGTATTAAAACCCAAGCCTTAACTTGTACTAAAACCTTCTATGTACTATGTACTAAAATCTTCTATGTACTAAAACCTTCTAACCTAACTATGTACTAAAACCTTTCCCTCATATAATGTATGTCCTAAAATTTTTGAAAACTCTAATATTTTTGCAATCTACAAACATAGTAAGAATCTTAGTATGTTTGTAGATTGCAAAAATATTAGATTTTGATATTGGTTTTTTAACTTGTGATTACATGCTAAAACACACGATATTCTTACTATCTATAATATTATTACTATCTTAGATAGTAATAATATCATTTTTAACTTGTAATTACATGCTAGAACACTAGGATATTCTTACTATCTTAGTAATAATATCATAGATAGTAAACACTATGATATTCTTACTATCTTAGATAGTAATAATATCATAGATAGTAAGAATATCGTAGTGCTCTAGCATATAATTACAAGATAAAAAACCAACATCAAAATCAAAAGAAAAAATAAAAGTAAAAAGAAATTTTTTTTATTAATAAATAAAAGCTTTTAGAGGGGAGTAAATTATAAAACAAAAGGGGGAGTAATTTAAAATGAATATATCAATAGAGCTAAAACTAGATAAAGTAAGACATCAAAATTAGCTTTAAGAAAAATAGATAAGTGATCAGGAAGTGACCAGGAGCAATCCTATTTTAAAAGGAGATTTGGTTTTTAAAGTTGAAAAAATTTCATCATGTTCTTTTTTTCAGTATTTTATTTTTAAAAATTTAAATATTTTGTAACTTTTGACTTTAATAGTCTAAAATTAAATAAAAATCGTATTTATATAATATAAAATCAAAGTATAAAAGTTCTAAAAATTTTAAACAGAGGAAAAAACTTAAAACAAGTTTCAACAAGTAGACATTTATATATTAAAAAAATTATGAATTAAACAATATAATAAAACAATAGTTACAAAAATAGTAAATGAAAAATGATTTTTTTTTTTTTTTGTATTTCACCACCCTCCACCCCCCACCCCCCTAAGGCCGAGAAGGCCACTACAGATGAGGAGGCTACTTCTTGTTATAACCCTCTCTTAACTCTACAACTCCAAAACACGAATCTTGAAGAACAAGGCTGCTGGGCAGAGAAACAACTTAAGCGCGGTATTACCAGGGACGTGGTGGGAATCGAATTCGGAACCTCTCGCTTATGAAGCGAGCGCTTTAACACTACATCACTATCGCATTTAAATAATTTAACCTATTTTTTATTTATCAAAGTTAGTTTATTTTATCTATTTGATTCAAATTTTATCAAAACTTCAATTTTTATTAAAATTTCTCAATTTACTTATTAAAAAATAAAACTAATGTTAAATTTAAGCTAAACAGAAAATTAACTTTAAAATTACTGAAAATTGAAAAAAAAAAAATTTAAGAAAAAGTTACTTACTCCCTCTTGATAAACTTTATTGAACTTGTTTAGTTTTATATCAAGTGATGCCATGGTGCAAAAATTTAAATATATATAATGATACCACTCTATAATAATAATCAAAAACAAAAGGTTAAAAAAAAACATTTGTTCTTATATAATTCACTACAACTTTAAACAAAATTTAAAGTAGCTTATTTGTTAAATTGTAATTTATTTACAATATATATTGAAACTAAAATATACTGTTTACCTTATTGAAAGTAAATCGTATATTTATTATAAATATACTTTTAAATTTATTTTATATCTGCAATAATAATTCCAGCAATTAGAAATTCCAAAAATATAAAAATCTGTCACAAAATATTTTGTTTCCAGTCACCAGCTATATTTGAGCTTTAAACTTCTTTTCTGCTTTTATCTTTCATTTTAATGTTCCTGTTTTCTGATAATTATTCCACAATCCTCACACTTTTTTTCTTTTTTTTTAAAATAACAAAAGACAATTAAGTAGTTTATATCGCTTGAATAACAATGTTACTTGCAAATATGGAAGAAAAAAGTTTTTATAAATGTATAAAAACAAAAAAAGCAAAATATCTAAAATAAAAATGATCAACATTTTATTTTTATTAAACTTGCAACAATAAGTAGAACTATAATTTTCATTTATATATATTTTTTTTATAATAGTTAATAGATATTCCTATGATAAATAATTATTACTTTCTCAAAGCTTAGTAAATGCAACTATTTCATTTTATTCTGTATGGTCTTCATATATGTGTGTGTGCGTGTGTGTGTGTATATATATATATATATATATATATATATATATATATATATATATATATATATATATATATATATATATATATATATATATATATATATATATATATATATATGGTAATAAAGATACATATAAATTAGGTGTAAACATGATGCAAATCTGCATATGAAGCATAAAATGTTATATATAAAATAAAATTTAAACAAATATTTTTTTTTCTTACTTTTTTAACAATCTTAAAATAAATACTTTAATTTTTTTTTACAGTTTTTTCTATACAGTATGTTGAAGCTATTTAAAAATAATTATTTTACAGAAAATTTTTATAAAAATTTTAATACTTAAATAACATATTTAGAATGAACCATTAACATTTTATAAATACATTCTTGGGGCACTTTAACAAGTTGTCCCACTGTTATTTTAATAATACTATAAACTCTAAATTCAATTATTTTCTTTCCAACTTGATGTTTGAATGTCAGATTTTATGTTGCTAAGCCCAAAAAGAAACCAGCAGCAAAACCACCAACAGTCAGTAGATTTGTACGAACAAATTTTGATCCCTTAAAGAAAATTTATCAAAAACTATTATAATTACAAAAATAAATCATTATTATTGTTATTATTATTATCATTATTATTATTATTATTTAATAATAATCATTATTTTATCATTATAAAAAAAAAAATGAGTAGCCTCCTCAACTGTAGTGGCCCCCTCGGGCCTTAGGGAGGTGAATAATTTAAAAAAAAAAAAATTTAGATGTTGTAGTTATTATTGTAAGACAAAAGGTATGAAGACAAATGTTTGTAAAAAGGTGTTTTAAATTGTCAGTAGAGTTTTTTTCAATATTAATTACAGGCTTATAGCTGTTTTCCACAAGACAAAAAAAAGCGCAAAGCTAATTTTTTTATCATGAGGAAACGCTGTTTTGATTTCCACATATTTTTTGCGATACCATGCTTATTGACAAAAAAATTAGCTTTGCACAAATATTTTGTCTTATAGAAAAAGATCTTTATAAATATATAATTTACTGCTATTTAATTGATATTATAATCATACGTTTAATTATTCTTCTTATCATATAAATATTACTTATGTCAGTATTAAAATTTAACTTTTTTCAATTTCATTTGATTAAAAGTTGCATCTTATTGTTTTTTTTTGATTGTATCCTTGTGTGTGGTTTTTCTGTCTTTTTATATAAGTATATTTATCAAGATACAAGTATCCAAAAATATCGTTAAATTATATAACATAAATATTTTCAAGATAAAATCTGTATTTATATACATTATATTACACATAAAATCATATTAAGTTAAACATAAATAAATTTTAAATTAAAAAATAAACAATATAAATCTAGATTGTTTTTATTATAAAAATTTGAAATTTAATTTTAAAATATGACTTACTGCCGAAATTTAAAATATAAGTTTACATATATTATTTATTGCTTTAGGTAATAAATTATATATGTTTGTATGCCCTTCATATTCAACTGAGTCCTATCATGGGGGCCAGTTTGAGAAAAATAAATGCAGAAAGCTTCCTAAAAATTTATATGTGCTGCAGCAACTTGCTGTTACAAACATGGTTTCTAACATTGTTCACATATTTGAAGCACTTAAAAATTTAAATTTAGTTATCAAGACTTGCTTTAAGTTCATCCTTCAGCCGGATTTTGCTTAAAAAATTTAAAAGGTGTTAATTAAAGTTAACTAGTGCGTGAAAACCCAAAATTCACACCATGGTCTGCCACATCAAAGATTTCATTATTCACAAAGTCAAAAAAATCTTCCTTAGGACCCTATAGTGAACAAACTGTTGAAACTGTTCTCTAAGATTTTTATCAACATTTTTCAGGATAAGAAGAACAGCATGCTTCTCCATAAACTTGTCTCATATGGTATATCTGGGAAAATTATTGAAGTTATCAAATTGTTACTTTCTAAAAGTTTTATTTAAGTCATTCTTGAAGACCAACACTCTTCTTCATTTCCAGTAACTTTTGGGGTACATTAATGATCTTCTTGACAACCTTACATCTAAAGTAGCTCTTTTAGTTAATGACTCAACTTTTTACTCCTGTCTTGATAAACAGTATCCTCTTTTTAATCGCTTAAAACAGACAACCGATCTTGAATCTGATCTCACTTCTGTAACAGATTGGGGCTTGCAGTGGCTTGTAAATTTTTACTCCAACAAAACTCAGTTATTTACTGCAAACAATTATAGCAATACTGTCGACATTTCTATATTAATGAATGGCAACCCTCTCACTGAGTCCTTTTTTTTTACATCTTCTTATATTATCGTTTACTACTGACCTTTCATAGAAACCATATATACAATTGATCATTAAATTAGCATATGCGAAAGTTGCTTCTCTTGATCATGCTCGCCATATTCTTACTCTTGATTTCATTCTCTACCTCTAGAAAATCTCTTATTCGTCCCTGTATGCAATACTGTTGTCATATTTTGGCTGGTCTTTATAATAATGCACTTTCACTTCTAGACATGGTCCAAAAACACATTGTAAACGTAGTTGGACCCGCTTTATCTGCTAAGCTTGAGCCTCTTCCCCATCATTGTAAAGTTGCATCCCTTTCTATTTTCTACAAATATGGACACTGCTCAAAAAAGCTATTATCCCCAGTTCCATCAACTAAAACTCATTCTCGCTCGACTCATCATTCAGCAAAGTCTCATTCATTTACTGTATCAATCCCTGCATACTCTAAAAACTTCTATTCGTCTAATTTTTTTTCCTGGCACTTTAACTCTTCGGAACTCTCTCAGATCTTCATGTTTTCCTAACTCATACAACCTTCAACGTTTCAAGTCTTATTACGACCATTTCCTTGCTCTATGATTTTATTCTTTTTTTCTAGTAATTTCCAACTTAATAGTGGTTGCTTGCAGCCTTGTTGGGAGTGAATTAGAATAAAAATAAAAAAAGATTGTTGCAATGAATAATTGATTTGAACAGTAGAACTCCTATCATAAGTTGAGTTATTCACGCCATTAAGCATAGAGTGAATATACCACGCTATGCATAATAACATGAATATACTACAGTAAAATAGTTTAATTTTTGCTTTCTTAGTTTATGCATAGAAAAATCAAACTGCACCTTAAAACCTTAAAAACGGTACATGTACCAATGAAACAACTGTTATAGAAATTGTTGGTATTACATAGAACACTCATGCAACCATTATTTTAAAAATAGTGACCAAACATCCCAGTATCAATTACTGGGATGTTTGGTCACTATTAACTATAACGTTTTGAGGTATTAGTACAAGGGTTAAATTAAGCGATCGCAAAATAGGAAATCTAGAAAAATATCTGGTCTTCAAAATTTTAGTTTTTGCAAAACTGTGTTCTTTGTTTTCGAGGGGCGAGTCATTTTTTTTAGCGAAAAAGTTACAAAAAATAAACCAAAAAACTTATGACTACAAAAATAATAACACTCTAGTAACTGCATTATAAAAGTAATAACACTATATTAGAGTTATTACTTTTATAACACACTTTTGAATTTTATAATTTGTCCTCTGTTCAAACAACATGAGTAATCCCAAATTTTAATTGAAGTAGAAAAGCATCTGGAAAAAATAGAGTGAATATCTAAATTATTAAAAACTTTATAAAAATGTACTTTATAAAAGGTTTCGCATTATGAAATGCTACTAATGGACCATAAAAACGCATGTTAATTTTACAATCAACCAATAAAAATTTTTTAATAGTTGATTTAAAAACTAACTCAGGTTTTTACGAACCATTAGTAACATTTTAGAAATGCTGAACATTTCCTATAAAGTACGTATTTGTATAAATTTCTCAAGTTTTTAATATTCGAATACCCATTTTAATTTTCTAGATGCTTTTCTACTTTAACTAAAATTTGGAAATACTTATGTTGTTTGAACCAAAAACGAATTATAAAAGTTATAAGCGCATTAACTAAAATAATAAAGCGCATTAAATAAAACTAACAACACTATTATAGTGTTCTCATTTTTATAATGCAGTGACTAGAGTGTAATTACTTTTGTAGTCATAAGTTTATTGTTTTATTTTTTACAACTTTTTCGCTAACAAATTTAAGTTGATTTGCCCTTTGAGTACATAGTTTTGCATAAACTAAATTTATGTAAATATATATGCAAATATATATATATATACATATATATATATATATATATATATATATATATATATATATATATATATATATATATATATATATAAATATGCTTTATTGCACGTAGAACATTATTAACAAACAAAAAAGTTTCATAATTATGCTATTAAATAAGCTATATATACCTTCTCAAAAAACCTCTTTGTTTGTTCATTCTCTTTCTTTTGAGCAATGTGGTGGCTAACAGTATCACTTGCTGTTCTGACATCTGTATCAACTTTCTCCCAGTCAACAGTGATGTATCCGGCACGTGTTCCCATCTGAATAGATGAAAAAAAATATCATCATATAATACTAAAACTTTGTTTCATAAACATTTTACTAAGTTTTTTATTTAAAGTTTTTATATGCAGATCTCGGTGGAAAACAGGATCTTTAGCTCTTGCTCTCCCCCACACTCTCCTAAAATGGTTTACAGGAGCAATTTACCACTCTTGTAAAAGTATAACTTTTCAATCAAAAGTGTAATTATCATTCTAACTATAAATGAAAAAATAATAAACACAAAACCATTTAAAAAAAAATAATTAATTGCATAATAAACTGCAACTCTTTTCAAAACACAGTTGCACAGTAGACCAGAATATAAGAAAAATAGAAAACATCTAAATATAATTATATTATACAACTAATTATATGTTTAATCAGGAAATCCATTTCTGATATCAAAAATAGGTTTTGACCACTCTGATCGACAGGCTGTTTAGTGGGGCAATTAGATTTATGAGTTTTTCAGATTTGATACTTTCAGACGTTGTGCAAACTCCAAACTTGAGTATGTTTATGGTTATGTCAAATATTGGAACATGGGAATAAAAATACCCCAAAAAAATATTTCCCTAACCTCTAAAGTGAGAGTAATGAGTTTATGATTTTTATAATTATGTTACAATTTTATACTAAATATAACTAAATTAATAGGTTTTAAATTTCACCGAATAATCTTTCAGAGATAAAAAGTTATGACCACATAAAATTTACAACCCCCTCACTTTGGGGAGGGTTGAAAATTTATTTAGTCATACCTTTCAAAATCTAAAATATTATTCCATGAAATTTAAAACATGCCAACGTAGACAAATTTAGTATAATATAATAACCAAACTCATTCATTAACTCATTACCCTCACTCTTAGGGTATGGGGAATAACACTTTAGGGTGTTTTTTTTTCCAGGCTCCAATTTTCTGGAAAGTATTATTATTTGACATTAGCATAAATATACTTAAACTTGCATCATCTGAAAGTGCTAAATCTGTAACAATAAAAAATCCAACTTGTGCTATTGGAACTATATTATTTTAAGGGTCAAATTACATTTAATTAGCATCCCATATAAACAAATAAAAATGTTTTGAATTGTTAAATCATATAACAAAACAAGTGAACTTCTTTGGCAAAAAGCACTTTCACTTTCACTTTCATTACACTTTCTTTCTGCTTTGCAACAACCTGATCACTGGATCTGAGCTACACAGAAGCTGTCTCATTAAACCCAGGTTTTATTTTTTTCTGGAGAAGTATTATGAATTCTCTGAAGTTTTTTTACATCTTTGTTTCTGCCTTCCTGTAAGTTTTTGTTGCGAACTACCTGGTGAGAGTGTACTGACAGTTTGTGTAAACCTTGTGACATATAATACCAGGGGTATAGATGAACAAAGCGTCGGGCTGTCTCCTTGCAATAGATATCTAGAGCCTCAGGATTTACTTCTTCCATACACGAGACAGTACATAGTATGATGTACAAACGCTTGGTTAGTTCCTTGTTGATAACTAATACTCCAGCAGAAATAGAATTCAGATGTAGCAACTACAGATAGTTAAAGTGGTGCCAGGCAAGTTAGGAATAGACTTTCATTAATAGAGGAATCTTCAAGTACAATCTTCAGGTTTCTGTTTGTAAACGGATTATTTTGTACTGCCATCAAATCCAACTTTGCTGATTAGTAAAAGTATGGAAGTTGGAGGACAAGTATTGGCAATTTCTATTATCCTATTTGTTGTATGGTTTAATATATCTTGAAGTTCTACCCCAGCTGAGTAGTCCTCTACTTGCATTCCAGAAGCAGGGTTGCAGTACTCCTTTGCCTCTTGTACTGTATCCTATTTCCTTTGCATTACTTAATAATCATTCTTGCATAATTTACATTGTAATAACAGAGCAAGTGCTTCGTTATTACTATCGCAACCACCCTACTGTACTACTCCTTCATCTTTACTATTGAGTATTTCCTGCAATACCTGTGCATCTTTTAACCTTCCATCCATCTTGAAATGCATCATAGCAGCAGATAACAGTTTATCTGCGTACTTTTGGCTGCTTAGTTCTTTCAATTTTCTTTTCTTTGTCTAGTACGATCCACAAGAAAATTCCACTGTAGGTCTCCCTTGTCCTGAAAATTAATGAGGCATTAAAAAAATTTATCTAATTCTTTCTAGAAGAGCATAAAATCTTGATTAGACACTTTCTTGGGTAGGAGTTGCCTGAGGTGGGACATACATTCATTTTTATACATATACTAATCATGGCACTTAATATCTGTATACAATTTTTTGATACTTCACAAGACTTTAAAAGAATTTAAATAATTATCATGCAGTCTTGTTGTTGGCAGTCTTTAAAATCTAAAATAGAATACTTTTGTGGATGCATAATTTCATACAACTTCCAATACATGTTGAAGAAAACTGTAAGCATTTAAAAATTGACATAACAAAGATAACATTCAAATATTGGCATTGACAACATTACATTTCCAAACAACACTGATTGATAATTATTTACATATACTATTAATTACCAGTATAAACAGGTGGACCTGAAGGTTGAATATTCCCTATGACTTGACATCGCCATCTAACCAATTCTGGTACTTAGACTCAAACCGTGTCCTAGTTCTGTTTTTCTCCTTCCATTTCCTTCTAAAATTGTTCATAAAATACCTTTAATCTCATATGATATATTCAAACCCTTCAAAATAATGTCAGCCTCGATATCTACTATACTGTTAATTTTCTTTTCCCACTTCAGCTTTAAAAGTTTATAATACAAATCTCACTGCTTCATCATGTTGAAACTGTCATTTAATTTTTTTAATTTTAATTATTTAAAGTGGGTTTGCAGTTTATTTTGACCACAAACCGTTACAGCGCCCTGTAATGGTTTGTGGTCAATGCTGTAATGACTTGTGGTCAATTAAAACTAATTGATCAACGATTGCTAACAGGTGTTTATTATTTATTTAATTACTAATAACAATGAATTGAATAAAAAATTTTAAGCAAATTACAAAAAAATTTTAAGTAAATTAGTTGATTTGTTATATATAATAATAGTTTCCTATCTTTCCATTTTGTTTATTTAAATAAGTTGCAACTGTTAGTATGATTGAATTAAATATGTTGTAAAAAAAATACAGTGAATATTTATTTTTAAAAACTACAGTTGATAAATAATATGTGTATGTGTATATTGGACTACATATTAATTGCATTAAGATTTACAGAAAAAATCTAACAGATACTTCTTTCAGTAAGATGGTATCAATTTTAGGAAGCTTTTATTAATTCAAACTTACACTTTTTATTAAAAAAATGACATATACAATACATTAAATGATCATAAATAAAAGGTCAAACATTTGATAAACTAATGCCTTGATTTAACATTTAATATATCTCAAAAGCCTTGCTTATCACATGGCCAGAAATTCCCAAGCCATGGCCATTCCCTTTAAAAATTATCTTAGCTATTCTGACCCTTTGTTGAGTTGTTTAAAGTCCTAATTAGCTTATTTTTTGTTAGAAAGCCCAGTATTTTGCTAAACATTAACCATATCTTAGGATTTAAGAATTTTTGGATGAAAAATCTGTTTTTGATGAAAGTCAATTAAATAGTCAACAAAAAAATTTAAAATCTAATTGCTTTTTATTTTTAACTTTGTTAATTTAAAATTAAAAAAACTTATAGACTTGGAACTTCAACGAATATATGCTCCCTAGAGTTACTAAAAACTTTTTGCCACCGATGACCTGGCTGAGTCTTCTGGTATCATGAGGTGATCTTTCAATTTTTGGCAAAGATTGATGATGCAATTTATTTTTAATTATACTTTTTTATTTATACGTTCACTGCTAGGGTGTTTATAAATTAATTTTTTAAATAATAATATAAATTTTAATCAGGGCTGTGGAGTCAGAGTCGGAGTTGGGGAGTTGCAACAATTCTAGCAGAGTCAGGGTCGCAAAAAAATATCGCGACTCCGACTCCGGTAGTAATATTTCTTGGTATTGCACGTGTATGTACAAAACATTCAATTAACCTTATGTTCATATTAAACCTCAAAAAACATTGCATAAATTTGTCAAAAAAAAATTTCAACTTATCGCGCAGAGAATTCAAAGAAGTTTTCAAAAATTTTGCTTTGGAGTTGGAGTCGAAGTCGGAGTTGTACTCAAAAAATTTCAACAACTGGAGTCGGAGTCGTTACTTTTTTTTTACGACTCCACACCCCTGATTTTTAAATAATTACTTTTAAGTTAGAACAATCTACAAAAAAACAACTACAGGGTTCCCACTACTAAAACTGGGGCTAAAATTAAGGATATTAAGGAGATTTAAGGAGATATTTTCCTATTATTTAAGGAGATTCAGTCGCGAACGACAATTTTTTGAAGGAAAAAGTAAGGAGAATTAAAGAGAAAACAATTACACTAAAAACGGAATCTTTCTTTTTTCAATCAATTTTAAATATAAATAGATAAACTATTATAAATAAAAAAAGAAATATATATATATATATATATATATATATATATATATATATATATATATATATATATATATATATATATATATATATACATATATATATATATATATATATATATATATATATATATATATATATATATATATATATATATATATATATATATATATATATATATATATATATATATATATATATATATATATATATATATACATATATATATATATATATATATATATATATATATATATATATATATATATATATATATATATATATATATTTCTTTATTTACAATAGTTTATCTATTTATATTTAAAATTTATCCAAAAAAGAAAGATTCTTTTTTTAATGTAATTGTGTGATATATATATATATATATATATATATATATATATATATATATACATATATATATATATATATATTAGGGTTGTTAACCGGAGGATTTCGTGCAATTCCGGAAAAACAACATTCTTTTGTAAG